GAAACAGATACAATTTTTTTAATTGACTTCAATTCATCAATTATTATATTTCATTTTTTATGATATTAATGTTACTATTAACATTAATGGTCCTTCCATTTTACTATAACCAATAATAAATGTATACAATTTTATAACTATTTATAGCTAACAGTTTTAGTTAGTTATAAACTAGTTATAGCTTTAAAATTAGAAGTTCAACTTAAAATTGATTTTAATTTAGATTTTTCTTACAATTTTTTTTCGATAAATACTTATAAATATAGATTTATAATAATTGTTGAAATAATGATAAAACATTTTATAGGTTTTTTATAAAACATATTTTTTTAAGAAAAATTCTAATTTTCCTACTTTTTTCTGAAGACTTTTAAGATCTTTTACTGACACTATTAACAAAAATAATATTTTTTGGAATTATATAATTAGTAATATTTACCAAAAAAATAAAAAAAAAACCCAGCACAGGGGGGTCGCGGCACAGTGGTGACGTGGCATAGATGGATTAAGTATAATGATATCTGACAGTGATTAAAATCACTATCATAAAAAACGCTTCCATGCAAATCTTTAGGTAGTGTTTAATATTAAAAAATTAGTGGATTATTCCAAAAGCTACATGATCTGCTAGTTCATTATTAATATCCTAATTAAGATAAAGTATGTCGAATGAAAAAGGGATTATTAAAAAATATTATTTCTCATAAAAAAATAATGTTGATCCATACATTTTTCAATATGTCATAGCATTATAAAGTTAAAAATGTAAAAAATAAAATCGAAAATTTTCACATAAAAATAGCATTCGGTAGCCATTTTCATCGTGAAGATAAAATAAAGTCCCAAATTTTTTTTTTGCATAATAAAATAAATTACATTAGCCTTAATTTAAAATATATATAAAAGTGTCAGACTTTCCGGAACACTTTCAAAATTTAAGTTGAAAAAGTAAATTTTTTGTGAAAAAGTTGTCATTTTAAATCCCCCCCTGTAAGCAGGTAAAAAGTCAGATTTATAAAAAAAATATACCAAATGATAGGTAAAGACATCATGCATCTATAAAAAAAAGAATTATATTGATCCATACATCTTTCGAGAAGTTATAGCATTATAAAGTTAAAAATATAAAAAAGAATTTTTTTACAAAAATCGTATTTTTTTTATTAAGTTTAATGTCTGTTTTCACCATGAAGATAAAATGAAGTCCGAATTTTTTTTTTACCATTATAAAGTATATTTTATTAACTTTAATTTAAGATATATATAAAAGTGTCAGACCTTCCGGAACACTTTCAAAAGTTAAGTTGAAAAAGTTCTACTTTCTATATGCATTTTTATGTTTTGAATCCCCCCTGTATTAAGGGAAATGATCCGATTTAAAAAAAAAGTATGTCGAATGAAAGATCTATATAAATAATACTTCCCATAAAAAAATTGTAATGATCCATACATTTTTCAAAAAGTTATAGCATAATAAAGTTAAAAATGTAAAATACAAAATCGAAAATTTTCACACAAANAAAAAAAAAAAAGTAAATACATCTTAGTAAAACCAATACCTTCTCAGCTTCGCATCGAAGCTAAAAAGTCAAATAGCAAAAAAAAAGTTGAGATAAGGTTAGAGTAACATTTTGTTCCGTAAATACGCTACAGTTATAAACCGTTACAGAATTTTGTCATTGCATTATAAAGATTAATATAATTAATTTATATAATCTAAATATTATATTTTACTGAATAATTTTTCAATATACTGTTTAGTAGTGACACTATAAAATTAAACTTGATTTTTTTTACCAAATTTATCAAAATAGACGTGCATCTTACTCAAAATATTGCAGGTCTTGATTTTCTGGTAATTTATCAGACTCACGTTTTGTTATTATTTATAAAACAAATTATCATTTTTGATTTTTTATAAATAAATGTATTTTAAGAAATGCATTATGTACATTTTGATCACCAGTTTATTGATAACAATATAAATAAATAGTTATTGATCAAAATATTGCATATTTATACGCCAGGACGTATAAAGATATTTGAAAAAGTTAATAGATCTATCTATATGATATTGTAGATACTTTATAGAACAACTTTATTTAATACAAAGTCATTTCAACTTTTAAAAATAAGTAAAATTAAAACTATATTTTTTTATTATATATTTTAAAAATAGTTTAAAATAATGTTAAAAATAAACTCGGTTACCTATATAATAGAAAAATTGTATTTATTAATCTATTAGGAACATAAAAGTTATAATCTGTTTATAACATCTTTATTTTATCGTAATTTGTAATATAATATATACCTACACTTATTTAAGAATAAAAACCAGCACATTAAGGTCGTGACACAGTGGACATGTTACATAATTAGCACAAGTATATATCTAACAGGGATAATAATCACTGTCATATAAAACACTTCGATGCAAATCTGTAGATATTGTTTAATTTTTAGAAGTTATTGGAGTATCCCAAAAGCAACATAAATTACTATTTCTTTGATTATATACTGATTACTAGTATTTCATCCATGTTTAAAAGAGTTACGATAGTTTTAAATTAAAAAACCCAGCGCAGAGGGGTCGCAGCATAGTGGTGACGTGGCATCGTTGGTACAAGTATAATGATATCTGACAGTGATTAAAATCACTATCATAAAAAACGCTTCCATGCAAATCTTTAGATAGTGTTTAATTTTAAAAATTGATGGATTATTCCAAAAGCTACACGATCTGCTATTTTCTTATTTATATCTTGATTAAGATAAAGTATGTCGAATAAAAAAGGGATATAAATATTATTTCTCACAAAAAAATTGTGTTGATCCATACACTTTTCAAAAATTTATAGCATTATAAAGTAAAAAGATAAAAAAGATTTTTTTTACAAAAATCGTATTTTTTTTTTAAGCTTTGATGTCTGTTTTCACCGTGAAGACAAAAGAAAGTCCGAACTTTTTTTTTCTATGATAAAGTATATTACATTATCTTTAATTTAAGATATATATAAAAGTGTCAGATTTTCCGGAACACTTTCAAAAGTTAAGTTGAAAAGGTTATTTTTTTGTGAAAACGTTTTGAATCCTCCCTTGTGGGTAGGTAAAGGGTCAGATTTATAAAAAAAATACACCAAATGATAAGTAAATCATAATGCGTCTATTAAAAATAATATATTGATTTGGTTATTTTTATAAAAGTTATGGCAGTTTTAAGTAAAAAAAATTTAAAAAAAATTCGAAAATGAGCAATTTTTAAATTTATAAGTTTTTTGGAGATTTCCCCCATTTACGGGGTACGCCAGAATCTTTGAGGGTAATGTCTTCGACTGGATACGATTTGTGATCTTTTGACTTATTGTTGAAAGAAATCGGTTCAGTGAAAGCTGAGAAAAAGTGGTAACAGACACAAAAAAAACACATCTTAGTAAAACCAATACCTTCTCAGTTCTCTCATCAAAGCTAAAAAAATAGTCAAAATCTACCGATTTTAAAAATTGTTATTTTTTGGAGATTTTTTCTTTTTACGTAGAACGATGAATTAAAAAAAAATTTTAGGGTAATGTCTTTAATTAAATATAATTTGTAATATTTTGATGATTTGGTAAGTAAAAGTTCAGTGAAAACTGAGACAACAGAATAAAAATAAAAATAATAATAATGATGATAATAAATAACAACATTTTGATTTATATTGTGTATTTAAATATTAATATTTTAGATTCGCATCAAAGCTCAGAAAGTATTAATTTTACTCAGATTTTGAATGGACTTTATTTTGTCTTCACGGTGAAAATGGCTACCAAATGCTATTTTTGTGTGGAAATTCTCGATTTTATATTTTACATTTTTAACTTTATTATGCTATAACTTTTTGCTATAACAAAAAGTTATACCAAAATAAAGGGGGGTCCAAATCTGAACAATGCATATAGAAAGTAGAACTTCTTTAACTTCATAATTTTTTTATTATGGATGCTTCATGTCTTTACCTATCATTTAGTATATATTTTTATAAATTTAACCCTTTACCTACCCACAGGGGAGGATTCAAAATAACAACTTTTTCACAAAAAATTAACTTTTTCAACTTAAGTTTTGAAAGTGTTCCGGGAACTCTGACACTTTTATATATATCTTAAATTAAAGATAATGTTGTAACGTACTATATTATGGAAAAACAATTTTTCGGACATTACTTTGTCTACACGGTGAAAATAGTTACCAAATGCTATTTTTGTGTGAAAATTCTCCATTTTATTTTTTACATTTTTAAATATATAATGCTATAACTTATTGAAAAGTGTATGGATCATCACAATTTTTTTGAGAGAAATAATATTTATATCCCTTTTTTATTCGACGTACTTTATCTTAATCAGGATATAAATAAGAAAATAGCAGATCATGTAGCTTTTGGAATAATCCATCAATTTTTAAAATTAAACACTATCTAAAGATTTGCATGGAAACGTTTTTTATGATAGTGATTTTAATCACTGCAGATATCATTATACTTGTACTAACTATGCCACGTCACCACTGTGCCGCGACCCCTTTGAGCTGGTTTTTTAATGACTAACTTCTTATTCATGGTGCACCGCCCAAATTAGTAGTTTCAATTTATTTTTTTTATTGTTTCTTGCCTTAGTTTTATTTTATTTTAATAAATTAAGTATTTTCAAATTTTAAAAGTATAATTTTTTTTTATTTATTACTACCAATTATTAAAAAGGGTTTGTTTATCAATATATAAAGAAATATTCAATTATAAATTATAATGATTAACAAAATATTTATTTAAAACATATAAAAAGGTATCTAGGTACATAATTATTTTAATCATAAAATAGTAGTAAATACTTAAAAATAATCGTCCAACAAAAAATTATCATCAATATATTTATTAATTCATCTAATATAAATATACTAGTACATAATGTATTATTTTATAGTATTATGTTACAAAATTCATATTTTATTTTTGTTATAAGAATTTTATAATATAAATAGTTGTATTTAATATTGTTAATTACTGTGTCTGAAACAAGAAAAACTGAACTTGTAAAAAGTAAAAATAAATATAGTTACTGTATGTTTAGAAAGTTTTGAGTTTAACTCAAAATATATAAAGATTTATAATAAGTTAATTTATAAAATTAAAGACTATATTAAAAAAAAATTAATATGCATAAAATTTAATCATTGTATACCTATTTCTTTATAAAAATTAGCATAACCAATATTGTGAATTTTTATCCTTTACAATATTCTAGTTATTGAAGAAAGCTTCCTATGATATTTATTCCCTTAAATATGTATGGAGATAATTTCAAACAGAATGAATGTTTATTGTATTTGGTAATTTGGTTGGATTGTCAAAAATAATATCACTGTTATTTTCTTACAAAATTACATATGAAGCTTCTTAGCTTCTTCTACATAGTAACATATTTTAGAAATAATATAATAGAAAATATTGTAAAATATGACTAGAAGAACAGTGAAACAGGAGTCAAACATAAAAAAAAATGAATTTAGATTACTTTTTATTTTGATAAAAAGTATATTATTTTAATCTAAAACACTGGAAAGTTTGTAATTACTTTACATTTATAAAAATAGTTTAGCTTAAAATTATACAATAATAATATGAGTGATAAAAATATCTTTAATAATACTTATAATCCGTATAAATAAAAAATGTTTGAAAGCCATATTTATAGTTGATTCTTTAAATAAGTTTTGCTTTAGCTATTCCAAAATATAGTTTATTCGTATGAATTAATTATAATTATGGCTAATAGTAAGTTATTTTAAATAAATAAAATTGGTAAAATGTTAAATGAGTTTCAATACAGCCAAGCAAAAAAATTAATAGTTTGATATATAATTGAACAAAAATATAAATTAAATTAAAACTATGGAAAGACTAGGCAGATGGATTTTGTTTCATGAGCTCTAAATCAGCTTCCATCATATCGTAAACAAGTTGCTATTCAAAAAATGAAAATTAATTAGATTTAGATTATAGTATTTTAATAATCTAAAATAATTGTTCATAATTGATTGGAAAGTTAAGGACAATAATTAAAAGATACAAAGAATAGTTTTTAAAAACAAAAATACATATAGTGTTCAATAAGTAAGGAAACGGGTCTTCATTGTTCTCATTGTTTATAACAATTAACCTGTTTCCTTATTTACTGAACACTATGTATAATAAATAATTGATGCACGATAATTTTATTTCATTTGAAATAAATTTACAATAAATTTTGTATAAACCTTTTAGTGTTACTAACCAAAAAAGTACACTTACATCAAAATTCACTTTTGGCTCCCATCCGAGAATGTTCTTGGCTTTAGACGCGTCGCCTAATAAAAGTTCCTACAATTAAAAAACATAAAAGTTTATCAATAATAAATCTCATTAAGTATTTTATATTTTTTTAAATCAATACACGTAAAACATCATTATAGTACTTGTTTCTATAATGATCACATTTGTTATTTTACGCCCACCGGATGTCTTTTTTTTTTATATAGTTTTTATAATAACAACCAGGAGCTCCCATTGCAGAATTTGTAAACAATAGTAATGCTCTTTTATATATCGGCGAATAATAAACATGTATACATTACACTCATTTGTTATGCTGTTGAAAACCGAACGATTATGTTATTTGAATAAACACAAATATCCTATACCATACGCTATTAAATAGACAATAAATGAGATAATCACCTTTGCAAACAATTAATTTTTTTTCGTTTAATTATATATATTGAATAATATGTATCCAAGAAATAAAACTGTGAACACTGCACAATGAAAACAAAAACATAAAGTAGACAGAAGATTAAAATCAATTATAATTGATTTTAATCTTCTTAATAATTACTAGGCTCCGCCCCAGACCAGGGGCCCTTCGAGCCTTACGCGCCGAAGGCGCGTAAGTCTCTTCGGGCCGTCATCATAAGTAGGCCACTGATTCCGGTAGAAGTACCCGGCTACGCCGGGCACGATAAGTGTTTTTCAGAAAAAATATTACTTCAGAATCAGTGAAAACTATAGAAAACTATATCTAAAAATGTTATTATTAAAATCAGGAAAATTCAAAAAGAGAATATAGTAAAATGTATTGGGTATAAGGTTGAAGCCTCTTAATGAGGTATTCCCTTTAGGCCTATTCAAAAATTATTTTAGGAGGAAATTTAATATTTTTTACTTTGTTAAACATGTTATAGAAATTTTTTTGCTAAAATTAAAGTACTGATGAAAAAAAAGGACATTAAGTCCTTATATATTAGAAGTTGCCTAAAAAAATATTGATAGCGCTTGTTCAAGGAGGGGACAATCTCTCTTAAATACACCCCTGTTATACACAAAAATTATTAATAATCTAATTACAATAATTGTTTTTATATTATAGAATAATTAAAAAAAAATTTAGCAGGTTATTATAAGTGGCACACTGTAAATTTAAATTAAAATTAATATTAAAAATAAAAATAAAAATTTAATTTTGATAAATATATTAGTAACTGCGATTTAACGATGAACATTATAGTTATCATAGATGAACCCCAATTCAAAAGATAAACTCATAGTCTCATACATCATATATGAGAAAAAAGAAAATTATTCCTTGATAAAAATAGGGCAAATGCAAAATAGTGTCTTAATAATAATACATAATACACCATATAATTAAGGTTCATAATACGTATCAGCAGAAATGAATCACTGCGCATAATACAACCATGCGCGTGGACTTAAAAAAAAAAAAAAAAGCTCGTAAAACGGTGAAAAATGAACGGATTGAATTGATTTTTTTATCATATCTCAGGAATGTCATTGAGCGGGTCTGATGAAAATTTCAAACCTCGCGGGCGAGCGGCAAAAATTTTCCGACCTTCGCCAATAATTTTCCCGGAGTCTGGTGACCGAGTACTTTCGTTGAAAAATTTTTTTTTGAAAATCCGAGCACGCTAAGTAATTTTCCCAGAAAAGCGTTTTTTTCCTTGTTCTATTATATAATAAGATTAAGGATAATTTATTTATTTACTTATTAATAAATTTACGCCCCAAAGGGCAAGAGTACAGATAATATAACAACCAACACATTAAGCAAGCAAGAAGTAAAACCAATAAAAATGATCATTGGGTATATAATTAGTATTAAATACAAAAAAAAAAAAGAAATATAAGTATTATATATAATGAGAAAATTTTCTAACTCATTGGTTTTTATTACATTAATTCATTTTGGAGATAAATATTGTGGGTATGATGGCAGGGGCGAATTTGTAGAAGGGTGTGTGTGATTTCTCCCAAACGTTTACTAAAGTCAGATTTTGTAGATAAAGAGGAATGTTATTCATTTTTATTTTTATTGTTAATATGGTGGAGTTAAAGAGGAGGAAAATATGGTTGTTGGTCATGTTTTAAAAAAAAGTAGTACTTTTTAGGCACCCTAAAAAAAATTGTGAATATATGTTAAATATACGTTAAATTAATTTAATGATGAGTGCTTAATTTATACAATCGTTTTAATAGGAGGTTTTTATTTTTTAAGTTAGTACTTTTCTAGCGTTAAAAAATGTTGGTTTTTTATAAGTTCTGTTAACATAGTTGCTATTGAAATAACTTTTTTTAGCAATTTTGCGTTTTTACAGGGATTATATTTTTTAAGAAATCCAATCCCTTTTACTGGTAAAAATGATCATAAAAATCAAGCATATTAGAAATGTTAATATGTCTGTTTTTATCATACATTCATTCTTTCATATTTTAATTCTTAAAACCCATTCAAGACTAGTTATAAATTAATCCAGGGTAGATTTAAATCCAACATTGAATTAAATGTGTAAAATAAAATTGTTTGATACCAATGTAGATGTAGGTAGGAAGTCGGACTGGCCTAAAGGGTAAAAATGTATGTTTTAACACACGTGGTCTCGGGTTCATCCCCAGGGTGCCAACGAAATTTTTCTTTTGATTTTTCATTGAAGTTGTCTGGTCACTGGTGCAAGTTGGCCATAATACCCATCCCGTCCATCATTGGACAAGCCAAGAACCATCTCTGACTTCCTAACACGTGAAAGAGGGTTACCACCTTCTGTAGCATATTAAGTTCGGGAAATAAAAAAAATAAAACTGATTATTCATTTATGTTACAAATAAACTTGTAGCTGACGTAACTATTTGTATAGTTATTAATTTAATGAAATACGGAAAATAAATGTTAAGTTAATAATTTTATGTAAATCGAATTTTGGTAAAATAAATAACAGGGCTAAATCTATATTTTAAGAATCCTCTTTTTAGAAAAATACATAAAAAAAGGTAGCACAGTGGATCGTGGCACAGTATGAGCGTGACATAGTTGAGACAAGTATAGATGATATCTGACAGTGATTAAAATCACTATCATAAGAAACGCTTTGATGCAAATCTGTAGATAGTGTTTAATTTTAAGAAATTGGTGGATATTCCAAGAGCAAAATTAACTCCTATTGTTTGTTCAAATTCGACTTCTATTTGCACGTAGAAGATAAGTCGTCGAGACATTTTTTTTTTAATTTATAGTACATAACATAAGTTTTAATTTAACGCATGTTTAAAGGACGCAGTATTTCCGGAACATTTTCAAAAGTTAAGTTGAAAAAATTGAGTTTTGTAAAAAAGTTGTTATTTTTAATCCCTCCCTATGAGCAAGTTTATTGTTAGATTTTCAAAAAAATGAAAGGGAAATATCTAAGATTCAATATAAAAAAATTGTTTTTATCAATAAGTTATGAGAATTTTTAGAAAAAGTGATAAAAATGTCGAAATTTACCGATTTTAAAAATTGTTATTTTTTGGGAGACTTTCATTATTTTCGAAGAACGAGGAAAATTTTTTAAATTTTCGAGGGTAATGTCTTAAACTAGATACGATTTGTAAACTTTTGACGTATCGTTGAGAAAAATCGGTCCAGCGAGAGCTGAGAAAAGGTAGTGACAGACACACAAAAAAAATAAAAAAATTACACATCATGATAAAATTAATACCTTCTCATTTTCGAATCGAAGCTAAAATATGAGACCCTATAATAACAAAAAAATTAAGTTCATGATATAATGACTTATGACAAATTGGAAACTGTTTTTTAACACAGCAAAAACAAATTTTCTTCTATTTACGTCTATCATAAAAAAAAAAAATTCATATAAAATGAATAAATTTTTGAATGGTAGGCAAGATCACCCATTATAGGGGTATTAAGAGGTATTATAAGTATTAATTAATAAATATTAATTGGTAATTTAAAAAAAAAAGACTAAGAAATTACACATTTTTTTAGAAAAGCTTCATTTTAGCAACTATGTTAATTTTCCGTTAATTTTCACATGCCCCTAGTTCCCTCAATGGGCATCCTAAGTAGGGTTAACTTTTAAACTACAAGGTAGTTCCACAAATATGTTAATATTTCATATACTAACTTTTGAAAAAATAAAATGACACGAAAAATAAATTATTTAATTACCGTTTCTAATTTGTATTTATTCCATCGTTTTAATTTAATAGTTAATAAGAACACAGATTTTCCAATAAATGGTTAAAAAATAAATTTTTCTTGATTATAAAATTCCTATTTCATAAGTAAAGTTTTTTATTTTTATTATATTAGCTAGATTATTGATGTCAAAGACTGTACAACAAACAATATTTAAGACAAGTGGGTATTTAGTATACATACACAAGGTACATTGAATAATAATGAGGTTTAAAAATATTTAGTCGTTAAAATCAATTTTTTTTCTTTTTGTAGTAGACACAACAATAGCTTAAGAGGGGAGTGTCCACCTACTACATCATCTCTTTGAATCTGCCACTGAATAAAAGTAATTTAGAATAAAACAAAATATTATAGTTCCTGTTTTGATACAGGAAGTTAATTTACACACCACTAAATGAAATGGCCTATAGGGGCATTCTTCCACCACTTTCAAATCTATGCCTGATTACATGAAAACAATTTTTGGCAAAAATAGAAAGTTTAATCCTTGGTAAAAATCTGTCTAAAAACCAAAATTGGCAAACTAGGTTTATGGGTAGTGACTGTAGTTCCTGGACACAACTTGTAAAATTTGAAAAATTTAAGTATTTAGCGAGTTTACTAAAGAGATACAATTAAAATAATACAAATTATTCTTATTATCTAAAAAAATATATAAATTTAACTTATTTTATTATATATGAAAAACTATAAATTAATATTAATTATTCAAGTATTTCAAAGAATATATTTACTTTTAACAAATAATAATAATACTTACTACTTCAGTTGGTCGAAAATATTTGGAGTTAACTCTTACACGAATAATACTTGTACATTCTTCTTTACCAATTTCATTCAATCCTTCTCCTTCCCAAATAATATTTTTTCCGATATGCTGAAAAGCTTTTTCAACAAATTCTCTAATACTATGCATTTTACCTGTAGCTATAACAAAATCTTGAGGAACTTCTTGTTGAAGCATTAACCACATTGCCTAAAAATAAAGTTATATAAAGAATTAAAATGAAAAAACCTATGTATAAATTGAGATAAATTTACTTCAACATAATCTTTGGCATGTCCCCAATCTCGTTTTGAATCTAAATTTCCAAGTTGAATACAGTCTAATAAACCAAGAGCTATTTTGGCTACTGATCTGGTTATTTTTCTTGTTACAAAGTTTTCTCCCCTTCTGGGACTTTCGTGGTTAAACAAAATTCCATTGCAAGCGTACATATTATAAGCTTCTCTATAATTTGTAACAATCCAATATCCATATAATTTTGCACAAGCTATAATTTTTATTACAATATGAAAAAAATGTTTAAATAAATTATAACTCTATAATAATTCTCAGTTTCATATTAAAGCTAAAAGAAATAAATAATAAAACCAAGAGTGAAAATATAATATATTTTTTTTTTAAATACATATTTATAATAAGTGTAAAAAAACATAACATTTATTGACTTCATATTAATTTACCAGAATTTATATTAGTTACATATAATGTAAAACTAAAGAATATAGTTGTCTAATCAGGTTTAAAGTTATGGGTAATAATTTTTTATTTGTAGAAATATTATTCATTGTTTGTCAGCAGACAAATAAAACAAAATAAAAGATTTTTCAAAGAAAATATAAAAATATTGATGAACTTGTAAGAAATTAAAAAGCATATTAAGCATAATGTAGATAATCAGTTTTTTTTTATTGTGGTTGAATATTTAAAAAACTAAACTATTTATGTAAAATCTAAATAAGTCTTCTAAGACAGTATAATAATAATTTTTTTTTTAATACTTATAAAAATTTAAAAAGCAAAATTTACCATATGGGGATCTTGGATAAAATGGGGTAGTTTCTTTCTGAGGTATTTCAACCACTTTTCCATACAACTCAGATGTAGATGCTTGATAAAATCGCACATTTGATTCTAGTTGACATGTACGTATAGCATCTAACAACCTAAGAGTACCAACAGCATCTACTTCAGCTGTATACTCACTTAAGTCAAATGAAATCTACAAAAAAATTAACTATTATACATTAAAAAGGAATTCAAAATATTAATAATCATGTTTTTTTTTTTAGACTGATTAATAGATTCAACTAAAGATATTTTAGGTTGAATACAGAATAGATAAAAATGGTTATAAGTAATTTATAAGTGTAAAAAAATTAATTTCAATAATAAAAAATAAAAATTAGTATCAATATTTATAATTTACCTTAACATGACTTTGGGCTGCTAAATTATAAATTTCTCTAGGTTTTACAGATCCAATAATTTTTACTAAACAACTACTGTCAGTCATGTCACCATAATGCAATTTCATTTTTCCTTCTCTATGTGATTTTGGATCTAGATATAAATGTTCGATACGGCTTGTATTGAATGTACTAGATCTTCTTATTATCCCATGTACTTCATATCCTTTATTTAGCAAAAACTCAGCTAAATATGAACCATCCTAAATTAATAAATAACATAATTATATTACAAATAATTATTGAAACATTTAACATGTTTTACCTGCCCTGTTATACCAGTTATTAATGCAACTTTTTTATTAAAATCTTCTTTGCTTACAGCCATTCCTAAACAATTTCTACTATAATTTATTTCATTGAGTTATATTACATTACTTATACAATTTATTAAAATAAATTACTAGTTTAAAAAGGAACACAAGTCCTATAATTTTTATAAACTTAGACAAGGATAACGTATGATATATTTAATTGCAGTCAAAATTTTAAAATATTAGATTAGAAGTAAATTTTTATCACAATATTAAAAAATGCAATTATTTAAATAGACAAAACAAGTTGAATTTACAGAAAGAATAATCAACATCATACATTTATGATTATTATTATTTTAAAATAAATTATTAAATTTTATAATAGAACTATTAAATTTTTATCTTAAATAAAATAAAGATCTTAGTCAATCAATCAGTAAAGACTTAAAATTTTATTTTTATTGATATTATATAGATTTGAAAATAAAGTCTACAATGATGATAAATATTATCAGTAACAGGATATGATATTACCACAGAATAGATAAGATATTATTTTATGTTTATTTGTTTGATGTTCGTATAACGTGATAAGAAAGAATTAAATTTTTGGAATTGTGAAAATTCTTTTTGGTGTGTCTGATCATATAATGCATATTTTTAAAGTAGTTTTCCATTCTATGAAGTAAGTGCAGTTATAAACTTTAATTCTCGCTTTGGTTTTACTATTTGTCAAAGATTCCTTTTGGTCACAACCTACATATATTTAACGAATAGGTTTATTCAAACGTATTATGTAGTTGTTTGGTATGTGGTGTGTTTAGTAAATACATTTGAATAATATTTAACATCTCAATTATATTAAAATATTTTTAGTTTTTTATTATGAAATCATAGACTGATTAGTATAAATTTGATTTTGTTGATGAATATGGGATGGACTTGCCTACATTTGAAATACTATTGAATGAAGATGATAAAAGCCTTCATGCAGATGTTTTATTTTCAAACTATTCTGATAGTTTCAATGTAAATTCATCACAACATAGAGTAAGTAATTATGCATATTCATTCTTAACTATTTTTCAAAACGGATCTTAATTCTTTAACATTATCAAAATTACCTACAATGAAATAAAAAAATAATTTTATTGTTTTTAAGAATAAATTTTTAATTAAATTGAAAACATATCCTTTAAATTATAAAACTATTGTTTTTTAAGCAACATAATACTACTATTAATTGTAAAATCCTAATAATAGTCTAATAATGTTCTATAATAAGAATTAATCACATGTGGCTAATATTATTTAAAATTAAAAATATATATAAAACATTAATTAAATAAAAAAAATCTTAGTTTTAGATTAATATTTAAAATATATTTTTAGTTTTAAAAATTCATGTTCTATCAGCTATTTAAAATACTAAAAAAAATCAAGTAAATTGTGATTACTAAAATACTAATTTATCTGTTAAAATTATTGTATTTGGTACATATTTTATATATTATTTTATATATTTTATATATGTACAAGTGTACAGGGTGATTGATTAAAAATAAAACACTCGTTTTCTCTGAAACTATTAAATGTTTACAATTTTTGTGTAGAAGACTATTGTTGGATTCAAAAAAAATCTATAATAATACGTAGTTAAATAATTTTTTTTTATCCCTTCTGGAATAAAAAATCTTAAATTTGATTTTCTTAAATAGCAACTCTTATTTTTAACTTGATTATATGCAGAAAAAACATTACAAACAATTTTGTTCAGTTATAACAGTTCTTATAATTTTTTATCTGATCAACCGATTGTGTATTGAAATTTTTCAAAGCTTTGGATTTAAAGTATAACTTCATCATTTAATTGATTTTTATAATACCAGACACAACAATCATTATTTCAATGGGCCATACATTATTAAAGTTATTTATCTTAGCTAGTGTAATGATAGATAAACAAGAAATGTCAATTAATTATTTATGTGACAGCTTAAAGAAATAGTGATTACTAATGTATTAAACAGCTAATTATCTTAAGATTTTAGAGGATTCATCTTGTTTTGACTATTATCATTTATATTAGGTCATTCAAAACAAGTAAAAATAAATGAACTTTTATCTAAACATTTTTAAGTTACTTGTCTCATCACTATTTTTACTCTTTTTAAACTATGTTGGTTGATACTTAAGTTTACTAAATTATTTGCTGATTATATGAAAATGGTGTGTCTCTGGGGCTGTTATTAAATAAATAGAAGAATGATTTATTGAAAAAAAATTATATAAGAACAATATTTTTAAAAAAAAATTTTTGTATCATAAGAAACCAAAAATGAATTTATTAAATAGGAATCCTTTACTATTTAAGAAAATTAAAATTTAGGTTTTTTAAACTGAAAGGATGAAAAAAAAAATTAAACTCATATTATTTTAGAGTTTTTTATACCAAAATAATAAAAAATTTACAATAATAAAAAATGTTCTATAGTTTAAAAAAAAAAATTTATCTCTTATCCAACATCAATCACGATGTATTATATTAGAATAGTAACCTATAAATATAGGTTCTATATTATATTTTATAGGCTATTATATTATAAATATAATAGTCTATGAATTAATAAATAACTTAAGTTTATATGTATTTTGTTTTTTTCAATTACATCTGCAAATTATTATAAGCTTATTGATTAAGAAATATATATATATACAATTTTTTTGTATAATTATGCTTTTAAAGTTAATAGTTTGTATTTAGGAATAATTAAATTAAAATTCTACAATTAACTTTTTTAATAATGTCAATTTATATTGTAATAAATATAAAATAAAATATAAAAGTGACCTAAAATTTTTAAACTAAATAAAAAGTTTTTATAATATTTATTTTTTTTTAGAATAAAGGCACAAAAAATGAATTATTGTTAAGTCAAAAGCTTTCTATGGTTGATGATTTGCAATTATCATTACATAAACATCTAAAAAAAGATTCATATATTCAAAAGTCAGGGCATGAAATTGAACCTCCAATACAATTTCAAGATTTACCGTGCAGATCTATTAACATTTATTCTCCACCTAGTAATTTCAAAGATGATCAAAACAAATATGTTAAATCACCTGTTTATACTAATGAATGTGTTATTCAAGTTGAAAAATATGCAGACAATTTTATTAAATCATTAATAAATGACATTTTGAATTTGGCCGCACCTACTGACTCAAGGTACAAAGTTATCTTGATTTATACCACTATTTGAATACTATATGATTTTTTATTTATTTTTAGGTTTTCAAAACAGTCTAGACTGCATCCCAATTTGGGTGTATATTGGAAAACAAACAATGCTCTTACAAATGAATCAAGCAACTCCCTTTTGTCAACATTATCATCTTCCCATAATTCCTTATTGAATATAATGCCATCTGATGATTCAAATTTTATTTCTTCAGCTATTTCACATGATGTATTAAACAGTGATACATATAAATTACCAATTGACAGCTCGACATTTAATATTGCATTTCGTAGACCACTGCGAAAAAAACGAAAATTACGCCGCCATTCTATATCTCCTAATAAAAAGTAAGCTCAACAATAATTTATTTAAAATTAAATTTACAAATAATGTTTAAACAAAATTTATTATGTAAATTACCATTTCATATTTTATTTTTTTTGGTAAATAGAAAAATAAAGAGTAAAGTGTAGTTTCTGAAAAATGATTTTTTATTATTGTAGACTTTTGAGTTAAATATTTTTAATAATTTTAGTTTTAAATTAATATTATAAATATATTTTTAACTTCAAGTAATATTATCCACAAGTAAGCTTTATAATTAAATAATTAATTCATAGCAACATGTAATATAGAGAACACTTTTTTCCTACTACTTGGTTACTTTAATAAATCTTAATCCTTGTGTACTGATGCATAATAGATTACTTTTGTAGCCATTTTATATGTATATATGCCACTTAAATTGTTGTAGACTTATATTTGCTATGCAGTAAGATTTAAAAGTTTAAAAAACTAACTCTAAGTGTTATGGAATTTTAAAATAATTAAAAGAAATCAAAAAAATGTCTAAAGATTAGTGATTTTTACTGGAAATTTTTAATATATCTATCTTTTATAAATATAAACTAAATTTAAAAAATTATAATATAATAAAATCTCAAGTTTAACTTGGATAATTATAAAATTTAATGAAAAAGTGTATAAATTTCACATGTCAGTAATTTTCATTATTAAGCTAAAATAAATTCCCATATCTTTGGTAAAATCTCTTTTTTCAACAAATAGTTTTAAATAATTACTTATACTTCTTGTTTATAGACAAAGCGAACATTTTATGAATGTACAAGAACCAATTCATATGACTTTAAAGGACGTAAGAAGTATTCTTCATAATTTTTATAGAGATTCTAAAGAATGTAATCAACCTACTCAAATTCCGAGTTTTATAAAACATGATGATATTCAAAATGATCACAATAAAAAAAATTGTGTTGAAAATATTTCATCATTAAAATGTAAAATAAGAAAACAAACATTTTTAGTTAACATGAAGTACAAAAAATCTAAAGAAAGTTCATCAGAAAAAATAAGTAGTACTAATCATGCAACAAGAAAAATATTTTGCTCTTCTCCATTTGTTTCATCTTCAAAATCAAACTTTACATTTAGTTTAAAACAAACATTTTGCAATATATTTCGGTCACGTAAAAATAATTCAGTTGAATCAGATCATGGATCTACTTTAACAGACACAGTAGTACTTTTAGATGTTACAAAAGGGTCAAAAGTTGAAAAACGTGCTTTACCTCCCGTACCCAAAGATGGAGTTGGTGATTCATTTGTACGTGAATCTAATATGGACTTTGCATCTAGTATAGAAAAAGCCAAAGATGTAAGTTTATTAAAATATAGTTTTTTTAAATTAATAATCTTGATTAAAAAAAAAAAATAGATTTTCAAAAAAAAAAAATGTTAAAATATATAGTATAATATAATTACTAATTATTTAAATTATATTTATTTTTAGTATGGTTGGTATTGGGGTCCAATATCTGGTGAAGCTGCAGAAAAAATATTGTCTACTGAACCAGATGGTTCTTTTATAGTACGAGATAGTAGTGACGATCATTATATATTTTCATTGACATTTAAATTGAATGGTTTTGTTCGACATGTCAGAATTGAACATGATCATGGTACTTATAGACTTTGTGTATTTCTCAATCATTACTTTTAGAATGTATTAATCAATTTAAATAAAATTCCAGGTAATTTTAGCTTTGGTAGTTGTACTAAATTTAAAAGTCATACAATCATAGAGTTTGTTGAAAACGCTATTGAACATTCACGCAGTGGAAGGTATTTATTTTTCTTACATAGACGACCTGTATTGGGACCAATGAGAGTTCAATTACTCCATCCTGTTTCACGATTTAAACAAATTCAAAGTTTACAACATATGTGCAGGTAAATAATATTTTTGCTTTAATGAAATGTCATACTTTGATTTTACAATGCCATATATTTTGTCTGTTGTATTCAAAAAAATCATACCTCCTACTTAAATGTTTATTTTTATTTTCTTTGACAAGTTTTCAAAAAATATCAGTAGACAATATAAATTTCAATTTGAATAATTTTGATATAGTTAGACCAAAAGTAAAAAAAAGTCTATATGAACCTAGTATTTGAGTAAAAACTATCAACAAATGGCTTATCTATTTTGTCAAAGACTACTACTGACATTTTATTTTTTTAATTATATAATTAAAACATTTTTTTTTTTACAACTTTTATTTAATATTTTTCTGCTTAAATACTCTTTTTTAAAGAATTTAACTCGGAGAAGCTTAAAAAAACATTAATTATTTTTTTCATTATCAATTTTAAATCTTGACATGGTTACTAAGAGACTTAATATTGAAAACAAATGGTAATAGAAACTACAATAATAGGAACTTAATCTATAAAACTGTGTTTGTAAAACCAATACTCTTTATATGAATAAACTTTAAAATAAAAAAGTTTAAAAATATTGACTCTAACTCACCAATATTTTAATATATAAATAAAAAAAAATAATAAATTTTATGTAATACACTGGTTAAAATCTTAACCTAAAAATCTATAAATTAAAATTCAAATGCCTCATTAGAAAGAACCAATTGAAAATTGAAATTATCATTAAAATAAAACCAAAACCTTACTCCAATCAAAAAAAAAATTTTTGGTTTTTATCCAAATTTAAAATTATATGATTCTTAATAAAAGTTGTTCTTGATTTTATATTTGTAAGTAAACGCCAAAATTTAGAAAAATAAAAAATTTGATTATCAAATGTTTTAATATTATACATGGGAATAAAAATATCAATATATCTCTTTAATCTTTTAATAACAGATACTTTAAATCAAAATACTTCTAGCCTTGGGAACAGCCTGTTACTAAAATTTATTTTGTTACTTTATTATTTATTTACTATTTACAGAATTACAATAAAGTGCCTTGATATTGTAATGAATATATAATTAATAATTAATAAATCAATGTATATATATACTAATATGTAATAATTACCATCGTTTTAATACTTATTACAATAATTAAATTTTTTTAAGTAATTATAAATGTATTTTTTATTTATATAGATTTGTATTGTTAAAAACAGTCAGACGGGATCTTATATATAAACTACCTTTACCTCGACGACTCATCGACTACTTAAATACTCCACATTATTATTGTGAACAACTTAGCTGCAGTGAAAATAGTAGTTTAATAAATCCTTCACCAGCTGTGCATTTAATATCATTTACACCTCCTTAAGCCTCTTGATAATTTTAATGGTGTATAATACTTTGTAGATAATTATTTAAATTAATCGAAGACAACATGTATAACTAAAAGTAGGACATAATTTTAAAAGCAACGATCAGCAGAAAATTATAGTAAAATCTTATCACTATAACTAAAATTATTTTTACTTTAATAATACATTATGAATATATTTTCAAATAGAACAATACTTTTCACATATTTTTTAAAATTATTTTATTTGTTACTTCATAAAATTCTTCCTTTTAACATTTTTCCATTAGTACTATAATACTGAATATTTTTTCTACTAAAATTATAATTATTTAATTTTAATTGAGGTCTGTCAGTTTTTAACCCTCTACTTTATTTGCCACTAAAAATATTATTAATATTTTCTATTAAATATGTATAAACATTTGCAATATCATATTCACCACCCAATACTTAAACAGACATGTTTTCTATTTCAAGTAAAGTATATAAAATTAAAATCATAGATTTATAGTTTATATCAACATATATAAAAAAAAATAAAAATTTTCAAAAAGAAAAGTACTAAGAATAAATATTAACATTAAATCATTAAAGTAGCATAAATCTATCAATTTTATCTCTATAGTATTTTAGTTTTTCTTTATAAATACTTGTTTTTTGTTTTTTTTTTGTTACCTATTTTTAAGTAAATAATTGTGATTTTAGATTTAATCTACTCAAAAAAAATATACAACTAGTTTATTTTAATGTAGTAAATAAACAGTCAATTTATTTTAGGACAAGGTAATAAGTAAACTAATGTTAATTTTTTATGTATTTAGTATAGTGTTCTTATTTAAAATAAAAATCAATATTATTTATACATATATATTTTCATTAATCATCCACAATAAATATAATTTGATATATTGTGAATATTTAACTATAATATTTTATTCATAGTATATTCCAAAAAATCTTAAATTTTCATCATATTAGGATTTAAAATTTATCATAAAATATTTGAAACAGATAACATAAGACACAAAGTTTATTATTTTATAAATAAAACTTATACATATATACATATACAATATAATAATGATTACATATTGCTTATAATTAAACTTATGAATTAGTTGGAATTCCCAAAGTTTTTCTAACCAATTTTTCAGCAATCTTGTTGAATTCCTCTCGATTTTCACGCCACATTTTAGCTGCATCAACATTTGCACCACTTTCATCATTTGGTTCTACATACAAATGTATAATATATTAAGTCACAATCTGTTTAAATTTTCATTAAGTTTCTGTAAAACATTTTGTTGCTTAAGAAGCAAACCTTTTATTCATTATTTCTCCTGCTTTATATAATATTCAAATTTATGATAAAGTGAACACAAAAATAAATGCAAACAATGGTAACACAAAATCATGCAACATCAATAGAACAGAAATTTGTTTAGTGGTGTTGCTTCTTAAACATTAATTTGTTAAATGTTACAAACTTTAAAGTTAATTGCAGTATAACAATAATAATATTACCCGCTAGCATGCTTATAACAGACAGAAGAATTTTTTCAACACTTTGAACTGGACTCCATCTTTCAGAACTTGACTCATAACCCATGGGATCATCTCCAGGTGCATGGAGTATTGAAATACATACTCGCCCATCAGAGTAAACTAAAAGTAACATATAAATTTAGTTAAATAATACGTTATTAAAATTACCATCATTATCAAACAAAAATTTAATCATACAAGTGTCCAAAATTTATTACTGTGTCAATAATTGGTGCCTTTACCATTTTTTTTCTACACAATCAGTTACAAAATGAAACTTAAATTAAACTAAGATATGGAACATCATGACTTTTATCTTAATTTTTTTTATAAAATAATAATTCATTTAGTTAAACTGGATATTACGTAATAACATTAGTATAATAGTATTTAGGAAACAAACTAAAGTACATTAAAAAAAAAAACAAAGTTCACTGTTTTTGAAATAAAAAAAATAGGATTTTATAGCATCAGATTAAAATCAAATGCTTGTCCTCAAATCTACTTCTGTGTCAATTTAATTATTCTGTATCATATATAAAGGTTAAATGGATGCTATATTAAAATAATCATTAAAATTTTACTTAATTAATTGAAATATTTTACTTTAAAAGTCTTGGATAATCTAGGGTGACAAAATTTTGTTTAGAGAATTAAATGTAATGTTTCTATTATAAAAATATACAGGACTTTTCTAAATTTTTGTAGAGGCTTATTTTCAAAACTGGTAGTCAAGTCATCAAGCGTCCTAACGCTTATGCAAATAATGAATATTTTTTAAATGAAATGAACATAATAATAAACAATGGTATTTACAATAAAAATATGAAAGATAGACCAAAAGAACATATTTACTGTTAGGATGAAACATTTCACAAGTGAATGTCATCTTTGGGGGACTTAATGGATAGTCAGATGGAAAAACTAGTTTTGCTGGAAAAACACCGCCTTCAAAACATGTGCCTTCGGGTCCACTATAATTAATAATTTAGTAAAAATTAAGAACTTTTTGAAATACAAATATATGACAGTAATTCTTTTTTGGTAATTACGTAATAAGAGCTTCCCATTCAAAATAGTTCTCTTCACTTATTGGTCCAGCAATTATACCTTCCGGTGGATTTAATGTTAACTCTAAAATATATATATATATATATCCATTAAATGGCTTTTAATGAATTTATTAATTTTCTTACGTTTATATTCAGCCATAAGACGTCTTAAAGCAGATCCAGCCATTTTTATCGCTTATAATTAAAAAACTATAAACTAGTGAATACGTTTTAAATGTTTACTCTTTAGCCAGTTGGCTATTCATCGATTTTCAATTGATAAATTATTTAAATGAATTATCTAAAATTAAAGCTTAAATTGGTGACGGGTCTTAACTTTTATGTTAATATTGATATTTGATAACAATATTATTGTACTGATAATGATAGTATGATGTGTATTTCAAAAAAGTGATAAAATAATAGGAGAAATCTTAGTTTTAATCGATCATATAATTATAATAGAGTATTAAATTCAATTTTATATTTTATATTTAGTACTTTTCATTTTAATTTTAATTAGTCTTCAATAATTGAAGGAACTATTAGTAAGTTTTCATGTTAAAAATAAAGAATATTTTTCATGCAGCATTGTTAAATTAAAGAGTTAATAAAATACATAAAATGGTAAATATCTTTATTCATTTATTGATATTAAATTTATTTAAATTTTTATTTGAATTATAGGCTGTACAAATGGCTACTGGAGAAAGTGCCAATGTTGTAGCTGCTTCTACAACATCTGATTGGGACACAAGAGAATCAATTCGACAACGTGAGCTTGATGAAGCAAGAGCAAGAGCAACACAAATGGAAAAAACTATGCGATGGTGGTCCGATTGTACTGCTAATTGGCGAGAAAAGTGGAGCAAAGTAAACAATATAATATATTATAAAATAACGCTTATTCAATTTATAAAAAAAAATAAAACTTTCCTAAATTATAATAAATTTTCCTATTTAAGAGCTCAATACAAGTCAGGATCTAAAGTAGTATATCATAATTTTTTAAATTATTCATATACTAAATTTTTCTAAAAATGGATTTCTTATAATACCAATTCTAATGCTATACCTAGCTGTGTTTATCTAAGTGACAAGGTTACAAATATTGGTGAAGAAATAGCTGAACTATTTTTGTATTACTTTTCCTCGTTATATAATTGTATTCATATCCCATATATACCACCTATGTCCAATTTTTTAAGCATTAATAACTTTAATCTTCCTTCTTTTGTAATATTTTATTAAACAAAGTATCAGATAGCTTACAGTTATTAAAAAAATCTAAATCTCCTGATCCTGAAAATATCTTCAATTACTTTCTATCTATTATTTTTGATTTTATAGCTTATCTTTTAATCTTATTATTTTATTAAGTCTCTATAAGAGGGAATATTTTCATCTATTTGGAAAACAAGCTTTAATGCATACATATTTAAGCAAGATGATCTAATTTTAGAAATTATCAACCTATATCTGAACTTGTATAGTTAGGTAAGTTAAAATAAAAAATAGTTTTAAATCACATAGTAAACTCAGCCAACAATGCTTTGGATGACAGTCAACATGACTTTAGACTTCTTACATGTTACTTACCATTATATCAATACATATATAAATAGTTAACCTTTTTATTGATAATTATACTAAGTAGATGTAATATATATGGATATTAAAAAAGCTTCTGGTCATGTTACCATAATTTACTAATAACTGCTTTAGATCGTCTTGGTTTTGGTTTTCTACTTTTACCTTGGTTCAGATTATACTAAACAAATAGATCACAATATATCAATGTTCATGGCTTCAGATCAAATACAACACTTGTTTCCTCAGGTGCTCCTCAAGGTGGTGGTGATCTGTCCCCTATACTAATTCTATTTTCATTAATTATATTTCTATACTCTTAATAAATGTCAATTTTTATTATTTGCTTTACTTTTTTTTATGCTTATGACTTAAAAATTTTTTAGTTGAATGGCGTCTAATTTTGCAAATTAAATTAAACATCTTGAACACTTGGTGTAAAAAATAGGGTATGAATTTTTGGATATTAAAAAGTTTTACTCAATGTGCTTTTATAGGTGATAAAATCATATGTAATTAGATAACACTTAAATCGATTCAGTATCTACTATTAATGACTTGGATATAGTCTTAACTCATGATCTTAATTATCGAGTTTATATTAAAAGTATGGTTAAAATATCTTTAAGAGTACTTGGTTTAGTAATACAGCATATATCATAGTTTAAGAACAGGAGGTCCTTTAAATTTTATATTGCGTTTTAGTTAAGTCTATACAAGAATATGATACCCTATCTGAAGTTCATATACTTGATAAGATATAGATTTTATAGAGTGCGTTCAAAATTGTTTTATTTAAATTTGTAGCTTACAAACTTAACATTGCTATAGATGACTAAGATTACCAATTAGATAAATTTTAAACTTTTTCACATTAACTTCAGGACACCAAATTGCCGATATTTTTTTTATATATAAATTAATTAATGGTATTATAGACACCCAATATTTGTTAAGATATATTCATTTAATATAATGATCTAATTGGAAATTAAAATTATGTAGTATCCCCAAGACATTGGGTGAAAGTGCACCTTTGGTTTAAAATATTGAATAATGATTAATATCATTAATTCATTATTGATGGTCTAGTATAGAAGAAGGTTGAATTTTTTTGTAAAAATTAGTTAAGGCATAGAATAAATGTAAGAATTTAAAAAAAATTAAAAAAAAATAGAGCTTCTGAGAAAATTCTTAAAACTGCACTTATCTTCTTTGTATACTAGACAATTATTGTTATTTTTAAAGATAATGATATCAATTAATTTGAATACAAAATTAATATTAGGTACGAAATGAAAGGAATAAAGCACGAGAAGAAGCTAAAATTCTTAAAGATAACTTAGAACTTGTTTTAAAAGAAAATAACAACATCAAAAGAGAAAAACAAAATTTAGAACAGCAAAATGAATGTTTACGTAAAGAACTGGAAAAAGTTAATCTAATTTTATTAAAACATGCTGGTAAGAAATTATTAAAAAAAAAAAATTTCAATTATTAAAAAAAAAAATTTCAATTATTAAAAATAGGCCAATGGGACTCACAAATTGTTGAAGCATTAGATAATGGTATATCTGAACCAGAAACATGTTGTAGTTCAATATCTAGACCTCAACCATCAATTGTAAGCGACTCTGGTATTGAAGAATATGTTTTACAAGAAGCTGTTCCTAAGCATGCTGTTGAAATGTTTCATCAATCTTTTTCACCAATAGATACTCCTAATCTCTCTAAGAATCTGACTGATGAAGAAGTTGACAAATTAGAAAAAAAGTTAGAAAATCTTTTAGAGACTACTCAGAATGATTTTGATAATTTACATAGACAACTGATGGCTACTGACAACAAAGATAAAAATTGTAAATGTCAAGAAAATAGTAGTACAACAAACCAACGTTTAGAAGAATTAAGAACACAAGTATGAGTCTTATTTTTAGACATAATGTCTTATTAAAAAAAAAGTATTAGTAAATTTATACATAAATGTTTAATAATAACATAAAATATTTATAGGTTTGATTTTACTACTAATATAACATATTAATTATATCTACTATACTTTTAATATATTTTATAGCTAGAACACTTGCAAAATGAAAATGAAATTGAGTGGAGTAAAAGAGAACAATTGGAAAGCGAAATGATGGCTATTGAAAGAATGAATAAGAAGTTAAAAGTTGAATTGCAGGATACATTAGAAAAACTTCAGAAACAAAATAAACCTGAGACTTCAAATGAAATGAAATTTAGACTTCTACAGCAAGATTTATCAGATAAAAATATTGTAAGTTCTCATTCTTTTCTAAAATAGTTTTTGAATAAACATTTATAAGGCTCCTAAAGAAATTCAAATATCAAGTATTTTTAAATCTTTTTATAAAAATATTAAAGCATGTTTAACTTATTGGTATAAAATGGGACACAACTCAAAAAAATGAATATTACATAAGAGACATAAAAGTTAATAATCATTTGCTATTTAATAGAATTCATTTTTATCAAAAGTATTTCACAGAAATTATTATATCCAAAATAATGAAATATTTATGACATAATATTTAATGTTTTTTACTCATATTGATACAAAATTTTTACTATATTTAAATTATAAAAATATTGTAAAATTTTATTATATTTTTGTCTTTATCTTCCCAACAAGTAATAATATATTTGTGTAAAATTTTTGATAATATATAAATTGTTTTACTGATCTGTCAATAGAATTGAATGTAATTATTTATTTACAGGAATTAGCTAATTTAAAACATATTGTTTTAAAACAAAAAAAAATATTTGTTGATCAAAACAATGAACTAAGTCATTTAATGAAGAGAGGAGAACAATATGAAGGAGAAGTAAAACGTTTAAGGAATCGAGTTAAAGAATTAAAAAGAGAATTGGCCACAACTGAAGAAGAATATGATATTGCAGTAAATAAAATTAAGTAAGATTTTAAATTTACAAAATCTTCTTAGACTTTTAATACATTTAAAAATCATTTATAAATTTTTGTTAATATGTAAGAAATAATATTATAATCAAAATTAACTAAATATATAATTAATATACAAAATAAAATCATTTATATCAATAATTTTATTACCATTTATTTGTTAATTTCATATATTTATGTTATTTAAGGAAGTTGGAAGATCACAATAATAATTTACAAGAACATTTAGAAAGATTTCAAGCTGAAATGATACCTCCTAAAGATTCGGTAAGAAAGAATTTTTAGTTCCATAAACATATTGTTGGATTATTAACTATAAATTTATTTAATTTAATTTTCAGGAAAAATATCGAGATGTGTTGACTCAGATTAAAACATAGTTGTATTATTATTTTTAATTATCATAATTTAAGAAAAACATTATAAGGCAAATATACATAGCTTTAAAGTCAGTTGGCAACATTAATTCAAAATGTGATACAAATAATTAAAATCAGTTGATTTTTATGGTATTTTGAATAACCATGATTCTACATATAATAATATTATGTAGATTGTTAAGAGGCAATTAGGTATATTTGCTAACTAATTACTTTTCTTGAGTAAAATTATAACAACTTTCTAGTGCTTTTATTTAAAGAGGATATTTTTGTCATTTTTTATTCAGAAAATTTTACTTTTCATCAAGTTAAAAATCAAGAGACTAAAAGATATATAAACTTATAGTTAAAAAAACATAATATAATGAATTATTTCCTTTCTTTTACAATCTTATGTATAAATATAATGTTAATTTAATGAATAAACAAGAATTTGAACAGTAAAAAATGTTTAAAAGAGTCAGAAAATGTTATACACAATTTTTTTCTATTGATTATTTTTTTTTATGATAAAATAATTTTTGCCTAGAACGACATACAAAAGTCAAAAGTCTGATTATTAATTTTTAATTTAAATTTAAAAAATTTTATATTTAAAATTAAATATTAAAATTCTAAGTTAAGAAATAAATAAAGTACTATTCAATTATCTCATTAAAAATTTACCTTTTTTAAGTGTATTTAATGATGTTTATACATGTATTTATGTATGTATTTTATAAAATTATTAGTTATGATATTTATAATTCTTACATTTTATGTAAGTTTTGCTCAATTACTTAAATTTGGTTTTAATTATAAGATTATAACTTTTATGTATATTTTTAGTGATTCATACATTTTTTTGTACCTAATGTTAAATTATTACATGAATACTAAATAATTAATAAAATTATTTATGGGCCAAATTTAAGAAAAATAGTGTTCTTATTTATATATTTTAATATGCTAAAATAAAAAAATTACATTAAGTTTTGATGTGTTATATAACTTTATTATTTTTCAACTATGTATCCCTCTACTATTTTATCTTACAAGTATTTTATTTTGGCAAGGGAATGGTAGGGCATTTGGTTTGCAAATTTTTGCACCTGTTTTTGCTCCATCAATGTAATTGCATGAAAAAGAAAAGTAGCCACAAGTTGATGATTTTGTATAATATTGTATATTTTTGTCACTTGATTGATAAAAACCAGTTTCACCATTAGTATCAGTTTGAAAATGTTTGTAAGTCTTGTTTAATGGTGTAATGTATGATTCATTGCCAAGTAAAGCCCTTAATTTAGTTTTATCTACAATTGTTAAACCACCTGATCCTGGCGTATAATGTATAGTTTGTGATTGCGCTTGTCCTCCTGGAAAAGCCTTTGCCTCAGTTTGATCTCCAGCTACTGAGGTAACTCTAGCTCGTAAACCAATTGGTACTTTGGTACCATTAGTTCCTGGTATGATTTCGCCCGAGCTTAAAACTTGACTATTTTTCATAGTTTTATCTGTATCACGAATTATTTTAATATCATGTTTGTCTCCTAAATTTAAAAATGAATTTTGCGCCTGAGTAGGTATATTTTCTTTTGCATTTAATTCTGTTTTAGAGTAAATTTGATCTTCCTTCTCATCCTCATAATATTCATTATCATAGTTATACTCAGAATCAACATCAAAATTCTGTGATGATTCTGATGACGAATAAATAGGGGATGAGGTAGATGTTGAATAAATGATACTATTTTGAGTAGTATTCATTACATTGTCCAAAATTTTTATTTTTTGAGTTGAAGTTTGATTTTCTTCTAACATTTGGAAAGATTTATGAAGTTGGATATCATCTCGACTATTATTACCAATTTTTTCCAACTTATTAATTGTATTCTTGGAGTTGCCTATAGTTAATTTTGGTAAATTTTGATAATTTTTTCCTGAACTAGCTTGAGCTGCACCATTATAAGAAATTCCATGTTTATACGATCCAAAGAGTTGACTTTGAGATTGACCAGTATAAGTTCCACCTTGAGCTAATGCTGTACCACCACCTTTAAATAATGACTTCTGGTCAGTATTATTATTTAAATCATGTGGCAAGAAACCTATTTGAGCTTGACTCGATGTACTACCAGGACCTGACGATTGAGCATCAGCTATGCCACCTTTTACTCCAACTTCAAGTTGTGTATTTGTAGTATAATTAATTCCTGAACTTTGAGCTTCGCCTAGAGCTGTTCCTGTCTCGTAGTTGTAATGCATTTGTGATTGTACTTTGCTCTTACCTCCTTTTCCTTCAGCTGAGCTTGTTGTACCATTCGAATTTCCCATTATTACACTTTGAGCTCCTTTGTCGCTATCACTAGTTTGAGCTTGAGCTGAAAATATTCCTGTGCCAGAATATGATCCTGATACCTGTGTTTGAGTTATTCCACTAGTAGATTTTCCTTGAGCTGATGCCAAAGCACTTGTTTCTTTACCATCTATGTTTAAACTAGTTAATGATTGAGAATCTCCTCCTTCAGTATCAATTGGCGTCATTAAATTACCTATGGATACATCAGACCCAATTTTCCCTCCAGTAATAGCGTAATTAGTTGTATGAGTTAACTTATTAGGAAGTTCTGAATCAAGTTGTTGAATATTTATGGGAATAGGACTACTTACCTGAAACTGCGGGCCAGTAGACGTATTTTTATCGTTAAAGCTTTGGTCTGATCTTGAGTAATTTGGTGATGCATATGCCAACTGACTTATACTCGGTGCATTGTTTCCAATAGAACTTTGACCCAATTTAGAATAACTGGATTGTGTGTTTGTAGGATGTTCATCAAAAGGATTATTATTGTTGATAGAAGTTTGACTTGCACCTGGATAACTGAATTGTGAAGATGTAGGTTGTTGATTATGAGGTACGTTATCACCTACAGAGCTTTGACCCAAATCTGAAAAACTAGATTGTGTATTTGTTGGTTGTTGACCAAAAAGTCCATTATTATTGATGGGGCTTTGGCTATAACCTAGGTAACTGGATTGTGCATTTGTTGGTTGTTGACCAAAAAGTCCGTTATTATTGTTGATAGGAGTTTGACCTGTACCTGGGTAATTGGGCTGTGTAGTATTTGTTGATTGTTGACCAAAAAGTCCATTATTATTGTTGATAGGAGTTTGACCTGTACCTGGATAACTGAATTGTGTAGATGTAGGTTGTTGATTATGAGGTACGTTATCACCTACAGAGCTTTGACCCAAATCTGAAAAACTAGATTGTGTATTTGTTGGTTGTTGACCAAAAAGTCCATTATTATTGATGGGGCTTTGACTATAACCTGGGTAACTGGATTGTGCATTTGTTGGTTGTTGACCAAAAAGTCCGTTATTATTGTTGATAGGAGTTTGACCTGTACCTGGGTAATTGGGCTGTGTAGTATTTGTTGATTGTTGACCAAAAAGTCCATTATTATTGTTGATAGGAGTTTGACCTGTACCTGGATAACTGAATTGTGTAGATGTAAGTTGTTGATTATGAGGTACGTTATCACTTACAGAGCTTTGACCCAAATCTGAAAAACTAGATTGTGTATTTGTTGGTTGTTGACCAAAAAGTCCATTATTATTGATGGGGCTTTGGCTATAACCTAGGTAACTGGATTGTGCATTTGTTGGTTGTTGACCAAAAAGTCCGTTATTATTGTTGATAGGAGTTTGACCTGTACCTGGGTAATTGGGCTGTGTAGTATTTGTTGATTGTTGACCAAAAAGTCCATTATTATTGTTGATAGGAGTTTGACCTGTACCTGGATAACTGAATTGTGTAGATGTAAGTTGTTGATTATGAGGTACGTTATCACTTACAGAGCTTTGACCCAAATCTGAAAAACTAGATTGTGTATTTGTTGGTTGTTGACCAAAAAGTCCATTATTATTGATGGGGCTTTGGCTATAACCTGGGTAACTGGATTGTGCATTTGTTGGTTGTTGACCAAAAAATCCATTATTATTGTTGATAGGAGTTTGACCTGTACCTGGATAACTGAATTGTGTAGATGTAGGTTGTTGATTATGAGGTACGTTATCACCTACAGAGCTTTGACCCAAATCTGAAAAACTAGATTGTGTATTTGTTGGTTGTTGACCAAAAAGTCCATTATTATTGATGGGGCTTTGGCTATAACCTGGGTAACTGGATTGTGCATTTGTTGGTTGTTGACCAAAAAGTCCGTTATTATTGTTGATAGGAGTTTGACCTATACCTGGGTAATTGGGCTGTGTAGTATTTGTTGATTGTTGACCAAAAAGTCCATTATTATTGATGGGGCTTTGGCTATAACCTGGGTAACTGGATTGTGTATTTGTTGATTGTTGACCAAAAAGTCCATTATTATTGTTGATAGGAGTTTGACCTGTACCTGGATAACTGAATTGTGTAGATGTAAGTTGTTGATTATGAGGTACGTTATCACTTACAGAGCTTTGACCCAAATCTGAAAAACTAGATTGTGTATTTGTTGATTGTTGACCAAAAAGTCCATTATTATTGTTGATAGGAGTTTGACCTGTACCTGGATAACTGAATTGTGTAGATGTAAGTTGTTGATTATGAGGTACGTTATCACTTACAGAGCTTTGACCCAAATCTGAAAAACTAGATTGTGTATTTGTTGATTGTTGACCAAAAAGTCCATTATTATTGTTGATAGGAGTTTGACCTGTACCTGGATAACTGAATTGTGTAGATGTAAGTTGTTGATTATGAGGTACGTTATCACTTACAGAGCTTTGACCCAAATCTGAAAAACTAGATTGTGTATTTGTTGATTGTTGACCAAAAAGTCCATTATTATTGTTGATAGGAGTTTGACCTGTACCTGGATAACTGAATTGTGTAGATGTAAGTTGTTGATTATGAGGTACGTTATCACTTACAGAGCTTTGACCCAAATCTGAAAAACTAGATTGTGTATTTGTTGGTTGTTGACCAAAAAGTCCATTATTATTAATAGGGCTTTGATCCAACCCTGAATAACTAAGTTGTGTATTTATTGGCTGTTGATTACTAGGTTCATTATTTCTAATAGGAACTTGCACCAAACCTAGATAACTAGGTTGTATTGGATGCTGTCTAATATATTCATTTGATGGGTTATATCCAATCAAATTTTGAATCGAATCTGCATAATTTGGTTGAATGTACATAAATTTTTGTCTGCGAAAACCATTATTTTCTGTCAAGATTTGGCCCGATTCTGGGTAAAAATTTTGAGTCAACATAGAATTATCATGTTGCTTTGTCCCTTGGTAATTGAGAGGAAATTGATGATAGCTAAGTCCTGCCTGATCCCGAATATTGGATATAGCGTTTAAGCATGTTTGATAAATATAACTACATAATGTTGGTAAGTTAAATTGATTAAGATTCTGATTTAATAATGGATGACGTATATTAGAATATGCTGAATAGAAAAATGGTTTTTGAGCGTAATTTATGTCATCAGATAGCGTTTTCTGGTTTTGTTGATTAGTTATTACTTTGCTGTGACTTTGTGTGGGATTTGTGTATGGTGGGTTGGTGTTTAGAAAATATCTAGATTGTGGCAAATTTAAAGGATTATTATTTGAAACTAATTGTTGCTTAAAATTATAAGGACTATTTGGGTTAAGAGTTTTATCTTTAGAGTTAGATTGTTCATAATTTATTAAAGGTTTTTGATTAATATTCATTTGGTTAGGAGAACTATGTTCATTAGAATAATTATTTAATAACTGTAATCGGTTTTCATTAAAATAATCAAATGGTTGTTTGTTATAAGTTGGATTTAAATTATTTTTATATGTTGAAAAATCATTATTATTTGGCGCTGCATTATCGTTAGGAATATTTCCATAGGAAAAATCTGCGTTATTTTCTACAGGTTTAGGTAGTGATACTTCTTGTATATTTTTTCCGGCATTCAAGTAATATGACGGTAAACGGTTTTCATTATTTGTCATGAGATGTTTTTTAAAATTATTCTGATTTTCTTGAGTTAATTGAATTGGTTTATTATTATTACTAGGGACATTGGGAGGAAAGTTCAAAATATTTTCTTTATATTTACGTCCATTAAAGTCAGTTAAACTGTGAGGTGAAGTATAATGTTTAATTGAATTATGATTTTTTTCTATGTTTTGTTCTTTACAATCATCACAATCAGTTACACTTGACTGACTTTGAGCTTGTCCCATAAAGTTTACACCACCTTAAAAAACAAAGGAAAAAGTTAAAGAATAAATAGTCTTGACAAAAACTATAAATAACTTTAATTATTATCAAAATGTTTAATCGAATTGTAATAATATTTTACTCTTCAAAACAATATAATTAATTTCAATATTGTTTTTGTTTGCAACAAAACTTATTACTTAATGAATACAATGGATAAAATTTTAGCTTTGTAGAAGTTCGATTTTTATATTCTCATAAATTATTAAATGACTATAGTATCACATTTTAATACATGTAGAAAATAATACATATACTTAATAAATCATATCACCAAATCAGTGTTCCCCGTGGATAAGATGAATAAAAAAATAATACCCTTACACAAGTTTCAACCACTCTTTTAATCATTCCATAAAACGTCCTCGTAAAAGATTCTATCACATTGACCAATCAAATATAACAAAAAATATTTCAAGAATCTCACCAGAGGTCGCTAAACCAGATTTGTGGGCTATAAAAAGTCCAATTTTCCACAAAAAACACTCTCACTCTGTTCTGTCTCGGTAGAGACTCGCTCTTTGACGACGACGCCTTCTATCGCGACAAGGGCTACAACTACGATTATACGTGTCTCTGGAGTTCTTAATCAAGATACAAAAATGGAATGTGTGTGAGTGTATGGTTCGCTCTTGGTAACAATTCTATATCAAATCTACACAACTTCTATATTCCATTCCTAATTGCTGGGATTTACAAAAAATATTATACATCTTATTTTCGGTCGAATACTTTTGGTGATACAAATATTCTAACACATATAAAATATTGGTATTTATTTATTTTTTTTATATATACACTTTATATATACACACTTCGAAATATACATGATTAGATTGCATTGTGTTCTATTACTTATTAAAGCGCCACAATCTGGTTGAACAGAGTACTAGCACAATAATATCGTAGTCAAGATTCCATCTAATTATAAATGTTTTCTAAAGTGTCTCTCCACTTGTCGACTAGCCAGTCTGATTTCAGCACAGTGCGGCCCATCGGAGTATAGGACACTAGTATAATCTATTGCGCAAAGAACCGAAATTGAGCTCGCATCTACCCTAGATCATTCTATGGACGACTGAAAAGACGTAGGCCACTTGGAAATAGTTTATTGCACAGGACAGTTATATTGTTTAGAATTTCTTTATTGGTTTTATAAATTGTTACAATTAAAAATGCGTTAGTATAAAATATTACTTACAAGGCCAAAAAGTACATCATATAAATATACAAAAAGGGTTTACATAATATACCAAAGAATAAATTGGATTTTATCTAAAGTATATTTAATATAGAGTTGTACTAGAAAAATAGTTAAACGCGAGTTAATATAGATCGCGTAACTTCAAATGCGCTTACCAACGCATATACATAGTTATTGACAATAGTAACGTCAACTACATGATTCAACTCAACAGAATATCTGCCTCATCAGGATAATTAGAAGGGTAAGTGAAAATATAAAAAATCTATAATAAACCCTTCACCGAAGGATTTTTAGAAATAAACAATTAGAGTGTCGTAGGTTGTCGAAAACAAACAAGTAGATTAATTGTATAAAGAAATACAATATTTGTGATTCACACAAATTCATGTATATATACATAAATGTATACATTTTTTACAGGGGCTAGTTATCTTTCGTCGATATTTCATCTTACTCATGTACAGAGTGATTTTTTTATCATAACCCACTCAATTACTTACAGAATAAATATATTTAAACAGTTTTTTTTTTTTTGGTTATCTTTAGTTACACATTATTCTTGAATTATTAACTATGTAATACTTTTTTAGTTCATCCCTTATGCCTTGTAAGGGTGTCAATTTTGTTTTTTTAAAAGGCAACATATATTTTTAATTTGATAAAATGTTTGAGTTTTTAATAGTAAATGGCATTTGAATTTTTTAATATAACTTTATTCGTTTATTAGGTATAAACATTTAAAGTTTTAAATTTTTGAGATAATATACATGTATAATACACAAGGTATTACAATTACAGGTAGCTAATTGGTTTTTTATGACATCAATATTCACAGGTACACAGCATTATTATTATCAATGGTAGTAAGGCACATTGTTGTGAGTTCATAAATACACTAACTGACTATATAAAAAGTATATCTATTGATAGTCATAATTGATAATAAACAATCCGTGACTGTGACAGCGATGTCATAAAAACCATTTAGCTACTTGTATTTGAAATACCTTGTGTATTATACATGTATATTAACACAAAAATTTGAATAAAGATAAAGAAGAAAAATAAATAAGAATTTGAAGAAAATACTAAAGATAACCAAAAAAAAAATGTTTAAATATATTTATTCTGTAAGTAATTGAACGGGTTATGATAAAAAAATCACCTTGTATATTAGACGCGTTTATAAAGACACACCCCGAAATCCCTTTCTATTTCATTCTATTATAGTCACTGCCCAATACCGCTAGCCACTCTTACTTTCTTTATACTAAAACAACCACCACAGCCAACACTATCCTTTCTATCCCTTCAATTTCCTTTACTTCCCATTATCCCCACCACCCTCCTTCCTTTTTGTTTATTACATGAAGTAAAAGAACACAATGTAAATTTAATATTTTTTTTATTGTACATTCAACAAAATAAATAAATTGATATTAGCATTTGTTGTCTCAACAAATGTTTCAATTTCAAATAAGTCTCAGACAAATGTTCTCAACAAAATGAACACCGGTACCTATGCACGAAGGCACTACTCATTTCTGACTGAACTAGGTAAACTACCTGAAATATAACTGCAATATTTTTCTAAATACACTTACTAACAGTAGCTTTTGACATATCAGGCTGCGACACTGCTTCAGCTATTCCATTTTTTACGCTTTGATTATTAGAATACTGCGGGCCGAAACTCACAAATTGCGTTTGAGTTTGTCCCTGATACCTTTTTTTGTCACTTGCTCGTTTTGATCTGAATTTTTTTTTATCGTTCAAGTCCACAAATGTTATTTTATAGTTTTCGCAAAATTTTATCATGTCCTCATCAATTATGTTTATGATCTAAAAAGTAAGAGAATTTGCGAACTAAAATTAAAAATTAATAATAATAATTCGTTGAAATATAATCTCTTAAAATTATTTGTGTATTATATTTTTTACAAATATTTTTTTTATTGATATCTTATTATTGTTTAAATTTAAAATTGATTATAATAGGTATATTACTTCTTTTCTTGATAGAGTTTTCTTATTCCCAAAATTGTATTTTAAATTTAAAGCAACAAATTGTTCTTCCTTTCCGTAATTATTAAAACGTATTTGGCATTCTTTTTTTTCTTCGTCTTTATAAGCTATCAACTTCTGAAATTAAATTATTTCCATAATTATTGGATTAAATTTAATTGCGGTATAAATTCTTTAAAAACATTAACAATGTATGATTTTAATTGTCTATATGGAGAATGTGAGCCAAGTAAATTTTTCATTGATAAAGTGGAAATTTTTTCAATTTTTGTGGGTAATATCCTTAACTTGATAATAGTTGTGATCTTTTAATGTATCGTTAAAAATAGTTGGTTAAGTGAGGGTTGAGAAAATAAATGAGAGCCACAAAAATAAAAATCACATAGTAAAATAATTTAATAAAAGAATTTTTTTCAAAGGAGGGGAGACTACAGTGATGGGGTGCTTGGTAATCATTGAAGTCATTGAATTTAAATTAGATAAAAATCAAATAAGTTAAACATTTTTTTCTAACTCAAAAACTTTTGTAAGGTATTTCAAAATAAAATAAAATACAAAATCGAAAAATTTAACACATAAATAGCAAAATTTTGAATATGGTAGCCATTTTCACCATGATAACAAAATAAAGTTTGAAATTTTTTTTTTCATATTAAAGTACATTACATTAGCTTTAATGAAATATATATATTTATATATAAGTGTCAGTATTTCCGGAACACTTTCAAAAGTTAATTTTTGGTGAAAAAGTTGTCATTTTAAATCTCCTTGTGGACCTACCCACATAGTATTATGAGTTTGAGTACATTATAACCGCAATATTCAAATTCCATCAATCAACTGTCTTAAGCTTCCTTTTTAATGATTTCTTTTACGCGAGGCCCTGAATAAGTATGCCGGTTCCATGTAAATCTATGTGGCTTGTAGTCTTTTAATTTTTTATATATCTATGAAGAAGGTTGTATAGTTTGGCCACTGTATGTATTCGTAAAATATATTATCTCTAGTAATAGACTGTATAAAAATTCTGTGTTAACTTCGTCAGATAATTTAACTGTTTATTTAACGAATTAAAAAATGTTTATTTTTGTTTTTATTTCTTAAGATCAATTAATTGTTACTTCATCCTTTAAACGTGAAAAGTAAATGTTAAGAACAGAAATTCGTTTTATTTAAGACAGTTTTTATATTTTAGTCAGAAATTATAAAATTTTTTTTGATTTAGAAATAATATTACAAATATGAATAATACATTAAGTTCCTTAATGCTAAAATTACCTTTTCATTTGAATGATGTACATGCTTGGGATTAAATTCTTGGGTTTGAATAACTAAGGTCACAATTATCCACAAAAAAGTAAAATAAATCATACTTATTTAATAGACTTGATTACGAAATAAAAATAATCTAGATTAACATACTCGTCAAATACCCACCACCGACGCTGAATGATTAAGCTGTCGAATGTCAAGTGAGCGAGCGTGTAAAATATTTTTGCCATATTGCGCCATAAGACGAGTTCTTTAAAAATGAAAAAACATCTGTTTATTTTGGCTTAAGGCGTGTTTTAACCTTTAAACTTAATCAGTTAGGTTTTTGAAATTTTCTAATTATTGATTTTAGATAAATCTGTTTAAAGCTATGCTATTAAAATATTTAATAAAAATTGTAGTATTATTCTATTTACTGGATGGAATTGGAAGATGACTAAATTTCCTAAAATTAAAGAAACGTATGCTAGGCCTCCAAAATTTGAGTATAGTTTATGACCCTTTTTGCTCATGGAAGTTTATATGTTAATGGAGCGAAACGATATGATTGTAATATTGTTTAATAAATAATACTTATTAACAGAGCTTTTTTTAGTGAATATTAACTGAATGTCACTTTTTACTAAATTAATGATTTCTTTTTTCTTATTATTAGAAGTTATATTACAACTTCTTTATTACAACATGTATATTGACATACATCAATAAATTTAAACTTTGCTTAGTTTTAGTTTTAGTTATTATCGAGGTGGACATAATGCTTATGCACTCAGACCTGTTGGTCCATTGTGCGCACCTCATACCGAATTGTCTTGATTCCTAAGTGTTATCACCAAAGTGTTAATACATTACCAACGATAAAGTCACCTCTAAAGATGACCAAGGAGTCCTGTCTTTCTGGCGAAATTAAGTATCTCTCTGGGTTTTAGGTTTTTAATATCTTCTTTTTTACGAAAAGGTTTATTCAAGTAGTTTGATTTTAGTGTGGACAAGGCTTCACATTCGCACATGATGTCAAATGAGTCTTCCTAAAGTTTGCTTAACTTACAGCATAAAAAAAACCCGCAAAATATTATGGAAAATAAATAATTCCAAATCTTCATGTATATGGTAACTATTTAAATAGTTCATTAAATTCAAAGATATAAAATATTAACATTTATTAGTTGTTTTACTAAAAATAAATAACCAACTTTGTTGTAAACATTCATTTGTGTTTTTTTATATCAAATTTACTTCAATTAAATTACGTATCTTTTTGTTTCATACTAGATTATGATGACACAGAATCAAAAACATAAAATCTGTAATAAATAATTAAAATATAGGTAATGTTGCCCATATCCATAACATTTTTTTGAATCGTCTGAATACGGACTCGTAATGAGTAAATTATGAGAGTCTATTTGGACACAGTTATTAACATAAAAAATGCCATCAGCTATTATTCTCTCATAAATCTGCCACTGAACTTTTAAATTCATTATTTATTATAATGTAACCAGGATTTATTTTTTGAGGGTTAAGTTGGGCTTTATCATCAAAGACGTAGTCAGAATTTTGATGCATAAGATATAAATAATATTACAGTTGATTGTTCAACTTATTTTGCCAAAAATCGTTGTTAACTATATCATTTTCGAGGAAATAATTGGTTACATTTCAATATAAATTTTTGCAGATTATTTATAAATAAAAAGTAGGGAAGTTTAAAATGAGATTTAATGGGAACAATAAAGCACTAATATATTGTTCAGAACCATTAAATGGATAACATTAGATGAATCATTTATTTCTGCATGGTAATATAGTTAATACTTTTTATTTATAGGCAGTAACCGAAGCGATTATAAAACAAATTATATATGTAACATACATACACAAGTTAAATCTTGCGAAAATAAAGATATTATCATTTTAAAGATTTATAAGCGGGTCATTTACTAACTTATTAATTAGTGAAAATATTTACTATGATACATTAGTCTTTATGTGTTTTAATTTTATATTTTCATAACATTAACATGTTTTGACACGATTCATTTAAAAGTTTTTTTCGTTTCATTATCATTTGGTCTAAATTTAATTTTAATTAATCATCTCAATTAGTTGTATTATACTACCACTTCTTTAATTTCTTTGCTTCTTGTGCATTTCAATTTTTTATGTATTATTCTAAGTATTTATATCCCTTTATGTAAACCTTGAGTAATTTTAAAGATTGACTTATCTTTTAATAAAAATTGTTGTAAAATATTCGGAATTGCATTTTGCTTAAAGTTTAGTTAATTTATTAATGGTTATTATATATGAGAAAATAATTTTTATGCTTTTGAATAACACCATTTGAAGGTGCCCACCATTATGTTATCAAATTATATTTTGATTAAAAAATAAATGTTGTTAAAAACTTGAAGTAAGGAATGTATATAAATACTATTGTCTTAATATATAGTACCTATTTATCAACTGTCTATTGTCCTATTATTATCGCCAGTCAAAGGGCACTATAAGGTTATCAAAGTAGTGGTTGTGCACGTTGTACGGATTTTACAAAATGTAAAATACGATTAAAACTATTTCTTATATTAGGTTACGGTTATCTATTACGTCCTTTATAATTACACAGTCAATGTGCACAGCGTTATTGTTGTTTTTACATTACTAACAAACATTAAAAATGGCAAAAGCATATTGTTGTTTCTTGTTCCTGTTGACAGTGGCCGTTATATTTGTCTCTTCTCTTGAGAGTCACTTAAACATTGCCAAAAGTGATGATGACAATACTAACATAGTAATAGTTGATGAAGATTTTGTTACTGAAGTTAAAGAATCTAACTTAAGTGAGTAACTTATTATCTTTAGATAATAATTAATATAATTTCACATAATAAATTATCCATAGCACTCTTGTTAGAAAAAAATAAAAATTTCACTGTAACCATGTAAATGTGTTTAATATCACCTTGTAACTTTTTTAGCAAACGGATTCTTTATTTTTTTGATGATTGTAGCGAAAATATCACTTTTAATCAGTGATTAAGACGTTGATGTGTATTTATTAAAACGTATTAAAGAAAGGGCTAAAAGAGTTATCTCTTAAAACGTCATTTTTTAGAAATAACATTAACAATCTTCTATTATAAATACTGTAAATTAGTTGCACACTTTTTACTAATATAATATAATGATAATAAAATGAGGAGCGAAGTTATATTTAATCATCCCTAAACTATATAAATGCGCACATTAACACTACATATCTTTGCTTTTATATATAAATGCTTATTTTTTAATGGGAGGAGGTTGACATGATATCGTCCTACCCGAGGTGAAGTATCAAATACGCCATTGATAATAATCAATTAAAAATACGACCCTACGATTTGTTAGGGGAATATATATAGTAGGTGGTGCAACATTTTTTTATAATTCTGACTCTTTTTGTGAATATTGACATGCATTTAATTGTTTTGTTAATTATTAGTCACTGAATATTGTCCTTGCTCTTTCTAACAAGTTTACTGACAATATTTCTGCAACCTAGTCTAATTCATTTATTTATGCAAATAATATTTGTATTTACAACTAATCAAATTTTATAGTCAAGGCACAATATTTGTTAATATATGATTGTTAAATAAACAATCTATTGTTTAAAATCATTATGCTGAAACATACTATTATTTAAATTAAATGAGGAAGTTCAAAGGTTGCATGTACTATGTAAAATTTTACTTAATTTTATTTGACTTAATATCATAATATGACATTAAGTACATAATATTTTACAAGAATAATATGTAATATATGACCAAATATTTTTGTATTTAATTATAAAGAATTTAGTTGTTAAAAAAAGTTATAATAATTTTTATCATTTTTAGAAAGTAAATGTTATGATGTCAACACTAAAACATTCCATAAAATAGACTCAGTATGGTACCCAGAAAATAAATGTGAAAAACACATGTGTATCCGACTAAGGGACACAAAAACACCAACAATTAAGATAATGGAGTAAGTTTTAGTAATTTTATAACTAAAAAAGTAATATAATCAACTATAAAATTTAAAATAGATGTGAAACATGTGCTCAATGTGATTCATTTAACCAAGAATGTAAATTGTTAAAACCGAGCAAGCAGTACCCCAAATGTTGTCCCAAGTGTATGCCAAAAGATTCTTTAATAACAAAAAAGAATAAATTGTATAAACCTAAACAGATTATCAAGTGATTGAATAAAGTTCAGTGTTAGCTAAAGATTACAGAATATAATTAAAATAAATGGAAATTAACTGTTAATATTTTACAAGAAATGAATTAATTAAAAAAAAAAGAAAACAACTTAATTCATGTCACTTTATTTTTATTAAAATAATACATTTTTTTATTAGAAATGTATATTAATTAAGTTATGCATATAAAATTGGTATAATAATCAACTATATCACTCTTCGTAATACTTATTACTTCTACTGATAAGATCTCCGACATAAGAAGACTTTAAAATTTTAATTCTACAATTAGAAGTCATTTGTATTATAATGTTTTATGTTAAATGTTTCTTATTAGTTTTACATATTTTTAAGTTATTACTATGATAGATGTTAATTTTAATAATTAATATTTTTCTTTGTAGATATTTTATTCAAATTGAATAATTTTATAAAAACTTACTATGGCCAAATATTTTTTGCATTTAAAAACTATTTATAGTTTTTTGTAGAAAACATAGGCCCATGACCTGGTATAATCCAATCAACTTGTTTCAGTATTAACTCTCTATTTTTTTTTTGTAATTCTGGATTTTCACTTCCTGCATTGAGCCATATTGATTCATCTTCAATATCTTCTTCTTTTTCAAATAAATCACCAACTATACCAATTGTACCATCTATAGTATGTACAATAACAGAAACATCTGTGGCAGTATGTCCTGGAGTAGTTACTATTTTTATTTTATTATCAATATTATAAATACCTTCAGTATTAAAAAATTTACTATCACTATAATATAATTGTTCATAACTTACACATCGACCAACAATATGTTGTGCTTTTAAAAATAAGTTGTTGTTACCAACATGATCTGAATGACCATGTGTACTAACCACATAATTTATATCTTCACAACTTAGACCATATTGAGCTAAAGCTTTTAATAAATTATTTGTATCCCATGGAGTCATTGTATCAACAATGATATTTTTAGGGCCTTTTATAAGAGTGCAGGTGCAATTGGCTAAATTACCATCAATTGTAGTTTTACAATAACCAACAAAAAGAATGTGAACTTCATACATTTTGAATTAAAATAAACTCTTACTATAAAAAATTATATACAATTTAAAAGTGTAAACATTTTGTATAAAAAATAAATACATACAAGTAAAAATTGATATAGCAATTCAAGATGTAGTTAATTTAATTTAATTTATTTAAACGCGAATCATATCTAACACTCTAGATACACATGTAATATTATGAAATAATTGCTATTGAAAATGATAAAAAACGGTAGCACAGTGGGGTCGCAACACAATGGTGCATGGCATAGTTGGTACAAGTATAGATGATACCTGACAGTGATTAAAATTACTATCATAAGAAACGCTTCCATGCAAATCTGTAGATAGCATTTAATTTTAAAAAATTGGTAGATTATTTCAAAAGCAACAATAACCTTATTCCCTTAATTTTATCGCTATTATTATTTGATTTATAATTATAATATATGAATAAATAATAATAATAATTAAATTTAATGTGAAATTGATATTCAAAAATTTAATATTGTAATTTTTACGGAGATATTATAAAAATAATAAAGTAGTTGTATATTTCATTATTTTTAACGCAAATTAAAAATTAAAGGGCTTGATGCAATACTTTTCAATAAAAAATGTACTTTTCTAAATCAACTTTTCTCGATGTTTTCAAATATGCAATTAAATTTCTTCTATCACTTCTATGTTTTAATATAATTACTTATTATTAAAAAATAAGTATTTACAAATAAAAAAAAATAATTGAGAACAAAAAAAAATTGTTTTAAATTAATACTGATTTTCATTATTAATATGTTAAAAATAAGGAAAATTTAACCTATATTTTAAATCGTTTAAAGTTGATTTTTGGAAAGTTTATAATTAAAAAAAATGTATTACTATCACTTTTAGCTCAATTTGCAAGTTTAAAATTTACATCATTAAATAGGAAATTTTATGAGAATTAAAAAAATTGTGTCGTTAGGATTAATGTGCAGTCAAGAAATTTTATAATAACTATTTATAGTATATTTATTAGAAAATCTTAATATTTTTTTGCATTTTTATTGTAATAAATAACTTAAATATAAATAATAGTATTATTTCCTAGTAACTTTTGGTGTTAAAAAGATTCTACAATTGAAATATTCAGAACTTAATTAATTTTAATGATATACTTTAACTACAAAAAAACAATCAAAACAAAGTTGTTAAAAATATTTACTCAATTGAGTGTATTATAAAATTTGATTATAATTGTAAAAATCCATTGTTAATTCAGGAGAAACTAACAATCACTTTAGAAATGATTTATATAGCAACATGTTACCAAAAAGTTTGGAATATTATAGTCTAGTAGTACCACATATAGATAAAGTAAAAAATTTATTAAATTACAAAGTAAAATAATTTAATATGAATAAGAAATTTCTTCTTGCGAGTGATGACTACAGTGATGGGATCCTTCATCTTTATTGAAGTTATTGAGTTTAAATGAGTTGAAAATTTATTCAAACTTAAAAAGAATTAAGAAAAAAATCTTTTGCCATACACGGGATGGAACTTCTACTCCAAGCGCGTAAGATACAAGTGTGTTACCGATTTGGCAACTGTACGTCGCTTCTGTTGACTGAAAAAAATGTTTAAATTTTAGTTATTTTTTTCGACTTAAAAGAAGCAAAAAAATTTATCTAAGTTTAACTATCTATGCTATATCAATTTGATTTATATAATATTTATGAAATTCAGTGTACTCCCCTTGTGAGGTATTTTAAAATACAATAAAATACTAAAAACAGAATTTTAACACAAAAATAGCATATTTTTAAAAAGAGTATTCATTTTCACAATGATGACAAATCCAGAGGTCAAATTTTTTTTTCAAGTTAAAGTTTTGACCCTCCTTTTATAAAGGGATATAATCCGATCTAAAAACAAATGTGTCAGATGAAAGGGGTATATAAAAATTATTTATAAAAAAACAATAATATTGATCCATACATTCTAAATAAAGTATATTACATATGTTTAATTTAAGGTATAAATACAAGTGTCGGTCTTTTCGGAACATTTTCAAAACTTAAGTTGAAAAAGTTCTACTTTCTATACGCATTTTTAAAGGTTCGAACCTCTCCTGTTTAAAGAGAAATAGTCCGATTTAAAAAAAAAGTATGTCGAATGAAAGAGGTATATATATAGTATTTATCATTAATAAATAAAATTGATTCGTGAATTTTTTAAAAAGTTTTTAAAAATATCATCTTTACGATTGTTCTTTCTCTTCTTTTCGTTGTTGTAAAACTATATATTGTGACAATATATATACATTTATCTTGTGCGGCCGTAGTGTGGATTACGTATCAAAATGTAAAATATAATACCAAGAATTTTTGCATACGATAGTCATTTTCACGAAGGAGGCAGTTCAGAATTAAAATTTTTTTTTTCAAATTAAATAATATTACATAACCTTTAATTTAAGGTATATATAAAAGTGTCAGCTTTTCCGGAACATTTTCAAAAGTTAATTATTAGTGAAAAAGTTGCAATTTTGAAACTCTTCCTGAGAGTTGGCAATAGGTCAAATATTCGCAGAAATATAGCAAATGATAGGTAAATATCTAAGGGGTCTAAAAAAAAAATAATTATATTGATTCGTTCATTTTTAAAAAAAGTTATGACAGTATTAAGTAAAAAAAACCCACCACAGGTGTGTCGTGGCACAATGGTGACACGGCATAGTTGGGTTAAGTATAATGATATCTGACTGATTAAAATCACTATCATAAAAAACGATTCGATGCAAATTTTTAGATAAAGTTTAATTTTAAAAAAATGGTGAAATATTCCAAAAGCTATATGATCTGCTATTTTCTTATTAATATCCTGAATGAAAAAGGGATTATTAATAAATATTATTTATTATAAAAAAATTGTGTGGATCCATACACTTTTCAATAAGTTATAGCATTATAAAGTTAAAAATGTAAAAAATAAAATCCAAAATTTTCACACAAAAATAGTTTTTGGTAACTATTTTCATCGTGAAGACAAAATAAAGTCGGAAATTTATTTTTTCGATGATAATGTATATTGCATTAGCTTTTATTTAATATTTATATAAAAGTGTCAGACTTTTCAGAACACTTTCAAAAGTTAAGTTAAAAAAGTTAATTTTTGCAAAAAAGTTGTCATTTTAAATCCCCCCGTGGGCAGATAAAGAGTCAGATTTATAAAAAAAATATACCAAATAAAAGGCAAAGGCATCATGCATCTATGAAAAAAAAATTATATTGATTTGGTTTTTTTTTAAAAAGTTGAAAAAATGTCCAAAATTAGTGATTTTTAAGTTTGTAATTTTTTTGGAGATTTCCCCCATTTACGGGGAACGAGGGAAATTTTTTCAATTTTTGAGGGTAATATCTTCGACTAGATATAATTTGTGATCTTGTGACGTATTGTTCATCAAAATCGTTCCAGCAAGAGCTGTGATTGAGCGTTCACATACAAAAAAATAACCAACACAGTATAATTAATACTTTTTCAGCTTCGCATCGAAGCTAAAAAATATATAATTATGTTAGAAAAACCTTAATACTTTCGATAAATTAATAATTAATCTTGGTTAATTATTGAACATTAATGTACAATACTTTAAAATATTCACGTAAAAATTTTTAAACAAAAATATTTTAGATAGTACAAAATATATTTGTATAGTAAAAATTGTACTTAGCTAAGGAATTATATCATCAAACATTATGTCGAAACTTTAGTTGTTCCAATGATACCTTTATCTAAATACTTTTTTTCCAAAAAACATTTTATTGAACATTTTATTTATTTATTATTAGTTCCATGTTTGGAACAAATGTTTGATTTAAATAAAAGATTATCGAGAGCAATTTTATTTATTTATTGAGATTCTGATCATATAATGATGATGACGAAAAAAAAATGTAAATTAATCATTATTATAAAGAGATAGAATTTAAATGGCTTAAAGATGGTTAAATAACATGATGTCTCCGCCTGGGCTGTTCTAAAAAAATTCAAAATAAAAATGAGGAATAGAACTCCACCGTACTGCTTAAAATAGGGGCAACTAATAATCAACAAAAAAGGTTTCTAATCAATTTAAAATTGCCAAAAGACAAATAAGCTTACCCAGCTCAATGAATACAACTAAATAATTAAATACAAACAGCTAAACCTATCATTATCGAACCGAATAATCAATAAATATAATACTTCATACTACTTACATGCATCTAAGCTCTATATAAATAAAATGAATTACAATTTACAACAGTAATACAATATCTGTAGTTTCACTGCAATAATGCACCAACCTATGTAAACAAAAAAGGAAATAATGAAAACAACTATTTGACTTCAAAATAATAATATGAATAATGTATTTTAAAAACAAAACTTCAAAATAATAATATGAATAATGTATTTTAAAAACAATGCTTTACTAATTCATACAAAAACAACTATTAACTAAAATGAAAATCAACGTAACTTTACCTAATCTGTATAATACTACAACAAGTACATATATATATATATATTTTGAATAAAACGACCAAACAATACAGGCCGCTGATATAGCGTCCTAATAGCTGATGGAGCTCAAGCACTACCAGCTGACCACACCCAACCAGTGCAGCTCTCACGCTTGGCGCGAACATGAACCCCCTTTTGAAAGGTCTTAGAGCCTTTTAAACTAAAACATAAAAAATAACACAGTATGACTAATGAACTTGTCTGAAGCACTATAAATCGTTAACATGGAACATTTATATTGGTAATTTAACAACTAAAATTTATATAACAATGAACTCATAACACCTTTCAGTTTCTAATAACAAATATTGAAAANTCATAACACCTTTCAGTTTCTAATAACAAATATTAAAAAAAAAAAAATTACATGGCTCATATAAATTTCTAAGTTTAAATCACATATATAGGAACTGAAGTAATTTATGACTAACAGTGGAAAATAACTTATTCAAAAAACATATAAAATAATAATGAACTAAATAAGTAAGATTTTCATCGAAAACACATAAAAATACAAATAATGCATGTAACTTACATTAATTATGAATAATATTAATAATACGAACACATAGAATATTGAAAATACAAATAAATTAATTACTATAACACATTAAAAATAAAAATGATAAAAATTACTTCATACAAATACTATGCATATTAGGCCATATCAGAATATTAGGCAACTAATTAATGGGATAACAATATTATAGGGGGTCATGTTCAAAACTCTGCTCCGCCAGAATTTCTCACAGTAACGGCACGGACAATTCCATCTGTTCGTGTATGAACAGCAGACACTCGAACCAACAGCCATTGGTAAGGCGGCGCAGTGTCATTCTTTATTATTGTCAAATCACCAATGATAACATTCCGCTTCATTTTGACCATTTGCCTCGGCGTTGAAGTTGTAATTTTAAATTAAAATCGTTTTAATTAAATAAATTCATTAAACAAATCAATTATTCGTAGAAGTAGCTAAAATCGGAAATAGGGGAGCTAAGACCTCCCCCTGTTTTAATGAGATATTTTAATTGTTTTTATTAATAAAATATATTTATTATAATACATATTATTAAAATTAATTATGTTGTTATACAAAACATAAATTAGTTTAAAAAAATTTACAAATAAAAATGTTTAGTTAAGTATTAAAAATTATTTTAAATGGTATTATTATCTATATATAATATACAATTCTTAAACTATATCAACCACTAGTTTATCATTAAATTTTATTATTAAAAATTGTTAGGTATATTTATGTATGCGTTTTATGATATCATATTTAAAAGAATAAGTTGTTATTTTCACATTTATTTTTTATATCGTAAAATATTAATTTTATACTNGCCAGTATAGTTGCAGCCACCGACTAGCAACCATCACTCTGAAGATGGACTCTGCAATGAGTCCAAAACGTCAGAACTCAACTGCAAACATGCAAGCACTTCAAGTAACAAGACAATCCATGAAAGCTTTAACACATTCATAAGTGAATATATATATATTATATACTTATAAAAGTATTTATTTATTAAATGCCGAATTCATTTAAATATGCATTCTTTAAATTCATTTATAAAATGCGTTTCCAAATTATTTCAAGGCAACTTACAATGCATCAATGATACTTGTTTACTATCTCATTAATTGCAGCGCGACCTTTTTTAGAGATATTTGAGTAACAAAAGCAAAAATCACATCATTTAATACAATTCCCATGAAAAACGCAACAATAAAATACATTATATACATTTATATTAACAACAAAAAATTGAGTTTTAAATTCTACACAGCTATTTTATTGTTTCACTTTTTTTTTTAATTTAAGTTTATTATTAAAGATCAATTCTTTAGTTATAGTAATTTTTTTAATAATAATGTAAGTATATATTTTAATTACTTAATAAATATACAGGGTGGCCCACCACTCACTGACAACTTAAATAACTTTTGATCCAGTTAATATTTTTAGCTGATTTTTTTTTTAAATAACAGTTATACGTTAGGTCTATAGCTATATCTCAATAATTAATTTTTTTACATTTTATTAAAAATATTAATTATTTTTAAATTTTAAATAAAATGTAAAAAAAAAATCTAAGATAGCTATTTTGTAGAGTAGAATTTAAGAAAAATTTTAGTAAAAAAATATTATCTTATTAATATTCAGTAGTAAATATTCTGTAGCGTTTTGAAGTTTGTAAAAATTTGAATTTTCATGTACTATTTTACGGTTATAAACATTGAAATACGTATTGAGAAAAGGACAGAAGAAAACGCTATCTTTTCATGATTACTGTGTATACATATGATGATAGTGTGTATACATTACAAACTTGGCATTAATACCATGATAAGAAATTAGATAAGGCAATTATTACTTATCACTCTCATTCAAAAGTATATTGAAAAGATAGCGTTTTCTTCTGTCCTTTTCTCAATACGTATTTCAATGTTTAATACCGTAAAATAGTACATGAAAATTCAAATTTTCACAAACTTCAAAACGCTACAGAATATTTACTACTGAATATTAATAAGATATTTTTTTACTAAAATTTTTCTTAAATTCTACTCTACAAAATAGCTATCTTAGATTTTTTTTTTACATTTTATTTAAAATTTAAAAATAATTAATATTTTTAATAAAATGTAAAAAAATTAATTATTGAGATATAGCTATAGACCTACCGTATAACTATTATTTAAAAAAAAAATCAACTAAAAATATTAACTGGATCAAAAGTTATTTAAGTTGTCAGTGAGTGGTGGGCCACTCTGTATAGCTTATAAATTTAATACACAATAAGACAATAAATATCATAAAATATGGTAGTAGTTAATGAATGATTCTTGAAGGGAATACACAACCACTAAAGGAAAGTTATTATCTAAAAGACTCGATAAAACATTAAGATAAGAGTTACATTATGGTTAAAATTTTAGCTAATAATTGTGTGGTCTATTTTATGACCCAATTAACAAATAATAAAATTTATGGTTCTATATACTTATTGTTGAAAGCAAGAGTTGAAGGTATTAATTTTTTTGGTATTGAACTTTATAATAATAAGACGACAATTGGGTTATTGTAGTATCCTTTTTTTTTTTTCAACACGGTCGACATAGTGTTGAACGCCCTGGAACTACCGTGAGGTATTGCTTCAGGGCGCCCAACGTTGCATAAAAACTCACACCGCCGTGTTGTGACTCAGTCCGAAATTAATCAAGAGCTGAGGCACAACACGACGTGGCCTCCCGTTAGCCGGATCCCAAAGTGGGATCCGTTGCCCAGTTCGCACCATGTGGAGGCTTTGCTGTGGGTTGGCATAAAATTCACGAGAAAACACAGAAAAACACACAAGTATCGAGAGGACAGGAGATACCTTGGATAGGCTTCTACGGCCCTCCCACCTTCTTGGGGTAGTCCCTGGCCCGTTGGTCCTCTGCCCTACACGAGAAGTACGCATCGGTCCGGTTGGGCCCGCTACAGGCCGTCTGCACGTGCCCCCTCGTGGCCTCTGGAGGCTCCGTCTGCGTCGACGTTTCAACGGTTTGCACCTTCTCTTTTGGGGTGTGGGTCTGCTCGAGGTCGTCAAGGAGTGAACGCTCCTTATCAGATCTCTCACAGCCGATCTAACCTGGTGGTGCAGCGGCACGACGAGAACCATGTTCTCAAGCCGTTGCGCCTGCCTGCACGCCAGGACGAGACCGGCCGTGAGAACCGACCTCGAGCTCGCCCGGTCCAGTTTAGTCCGTGGCGTACCGTCCTCGTTGAAGAGGTCGGCAGCCGCGATCTCCCCGCACTTATTGTAGTATCCTTGCACCTCGTAATAAATCTTTTGAAAATTTGCCTTAAGTTTTTTGTGGAAATTATTCATGTATTTGTATGTTTACAACTTTTCCAAAGAGTGGCGTCTTTAGGGGTAGACCGTGGCCTAGGGTGGCATTTTTTCGAATTAAGAACTATATTTATTAAATATAAATATTAAATTTATTATTGATATATATTTATTTATATGTAAAATAATTCAATAAATTATTTTTAATTATTATATTAATTAATAATATAAAAAAACCCAGCACAGGGGGGTCGCGGCACAGTTGTGACGTGGTATAGTTGGATCTAGTATAATGATATATGACAGTGATTAAAATCACTATCAAAAATAAACGCTTCGATGCAAATCTTTAGATAGTGTTTAATTT